CAAAGTAGGAAATAAAGTATAAGTTACTATAAAGTACTAGAAATCCGATTATCCGAGCCAGAAGCTAGGGAACCAAATAGAGGGCCTATTTGAGATTCTAGAATAGTATAGCTACTCGTTTCTCCTAAAACTACCGGAAACTATAAAGATATACCTAGTTTTCTATATAGAGAAGCTATAAAAAGATCCCCAGAATCTTTTACTAGGTTAAGTAAACCCGGAACCACCCCTATTAATACTAGAGAATAGTAAATAAGAATATGGTATTAAATGGGTTATTATAATTAAGCTAGTAAGAAATAGGCTAAAGTATAGAATTTAGTAGGTTAGTTAGGATAAAGATCTAGTATAATATCCAGTTTCGGTATTAAGTAATAGTTCTCTGGTTTTATAAAGTTTCTATAATAATAATATTAATATACTAGGACCTCTATAAAACCTGTAATACTAGCTAAACTATATAAAAAATAATACTAGTCTAGAACTATATAGAAATAATAATAAATTCTTCTAGGTTATATAATAAAGGTACTGGCCTTTTATATATAATATCTATATCCGAGATACTAGTTTTACTTTAGGAAGAAGTATAGTATAAAATTAGATGAATTAATGGCTTGTATAAAGCTCGGGAATAAGCTTATTATAAAGAGGGGAGGTAATATTATAATTCTCAGATGCCCGGTATCTGAGATGCCTTACTAGATACCAGATACCTCCTAGGCATATATAATACGGCCGCCTTACTAGGGAAATATGCTTGGAATATACTAGAGATATTTAGAAGGCTAGCTCCTTTAGAACTAGTATATTATAGGATATATATACTCCCTTGTAGCCTCCTATATTCTAGTTTTCTTTTCTTTAGCTTTAAATTATCTTTATAAGGGACCTTCTATCTTGCTTTCCAAGCCCTGAATACTATATTCGTAATATATACTATAATACAAATATTAGTATTTAGTATATATTAGATACTATTTAGAAGTATTACTAAAATAGTTTTTTCTTTAGCTATTTTTTAGAATAGTTTCCGTCTAGTAAAAAGAAGTTCTATAGCTTTAATAAATCTTTGAGCTATATTTTTAGAAAAAAGACTATTTATTAGAGTCTTAGATAAGTTTCTTAAGATCTTGGCTAGGATAAGTTAAATAGAATTAGATAGGAACGGATCTAGTAAAATTATCTAGATAACTATTAAGTTTAATAAATTTTCCGGGGCTATAGTTTTAGAAATATTATTTAGAGATTCTATAGTAATATATAATAGATTTATAAAAGAGATTTAGAAAGCTTTTAGCTTCTTTATTTCTTATATAGTTTTAATTTATATAATTAAAGTTTTAAGAAGTCTTAATTTCTTTTTTAAATTAATATAAATAAATCTATTATTATTTTTATTTTTAGAGACTAATAGTTTATATACTATAAGTAATATATAGATCTATTTCCCAGAAAAATATAGGATTTCTATAATTTATAATATATAAATAATATAGCTTAATAGTTTATTATAAAAGTAATTTATATCTATACTAATTAGATTCTAAAGATATTATAATATAAATAGTAGAATATATTAATAAGGTAATTAGTACCTTACTAAGAACTGCCCTAGAAGTTTCCCTTAGTAAATAAAGGAAAGAGTATATTATTTATATATAGGATTCTAGTAATACCGGGAATATTTATATAAAATAATTAAGATCTAACCAGAAAACAGATCTATTATTAATAAGAATTAAATATCTCTTTATTAATAAATATATACTTCTTATAGCCAGAGTTAGTATTAATTATTATTATAGTAACTAGTTAGTTATTAAATTAATTATAGTTATCCTAATTATTTTAGTTATTCTAGTTATTTCGGTTTTAATTATAGTTATTCTAGTTATTCCGATTATAATTATCCTAGTTTTCTTATCTATTATACTAATTTAATTAATATATAAATTATAGATATAGGTATTTATATTAAGGTTAATAAACTAGAGCCAGAATTATAATAATAGGAAATATTATAACTATATAATATAATTAGGATTTCTCGAAAATAGCTTATTATTATTAATTAGTAGAGCTAAAGTATCTAATAAATAGAACTATAATTATATTAGAATTTCCTGATTTCTTCTAGGTATTATTAATATTCTTTGGTTTCTTTAATTACTATAGTATAGTAATTAGAATAATATACTATAAAAGTAATTATATTTAATTTATTATCTAGTTTTAGGAATATAGCTATTAGTATAGTTAATTATAATATAAAGTCTATTTAGAAAAGTATTTCTAATATAATTATTTTATAGAAAATCTATTTTCTATTATCTTAAACTAGGCTTAAAGCTAGTCTTGAAATTATTAGTATTAAACTCGAGCTTTATATTTTACTAAATAGACCTTGAAATAGAAATTATTTATAGTATTATAGCTATTCCTTAAACTAATAATTAAGGCCAGAATTAGATCTAGTTTATTATAGATATAGTATATAATTAGATCTTTATTTTTTTCTCTAGCTACTATATATAAGCCTTATTTTTTAGTAATATACTTATATATATCTAAGACTAATTTATTTATAAATAAGTATTTTATTATATTTGCTTTTAAAAGAGCTTATAAGGTATTTGTATTAAATTATTAAATTAATTAGATCTTTTATTTTTTAAAACTTTTAGCTATAAATATAGTTATGTTTTTATTTAGTCCAGAAAACTAATTAAGGGCTTTCTTTCTTATATAAAATAGAAGAGTTATAAGAACTAGTTATTTATTATAAATTATAACTAAAAATATAAAATATCTATAATATATAATAGTAGTTATATCTAAAAGAAAGCTATTAAAGGTTCTAATATTATTAATCTATAAGTACCGGATTCCTCTAAAGGTTCTTTAATAGAAGTTACTATAATTATTTTAGTAATTAGTAGATCTATAATAGTATTAATAATCTCGATTATCTTAATAAAAGCTTTAATAGGATCCTTAATAAGATCTATTTTTAGAGGAATTAAAACTATTATTCGGGTTATTACCTGGATTTCCTTAATAAGTATCTTAGTAAGTTAACTTATAGGTATTCTTATTTATATAATAATAATAATTATTTTTCTTATAGTAAATATAGTCTTAATTATTACTATTTCTATTATTCTAATTATTTTATATCTTTTTATTCTTTCTAAATTTTTTTTATAATTTAGGATACTATAATATCTATAGTTCTAGTTAAATTTATTAGATAGAAAATTATCTAAATTATCTTAATTATTTTCCGGAATTAGTTCGGATTTAAAATAATTTATAAAATATATAAAGAGATTAATATTATTAATATATAAGATTTAAATACTAATAGTATTCTTAGTATAATTCTTGAATTCCGTTCTGGTTTTCTTATTTATAGTTTTAATAATAATAATAGCTTTCCTAATATCTTTATTCGAGAAATAGCTTTTAAGATATAAAAAGGCTCTAGTATTTATTTTATTTATAAGAATAATAATAAGTATAATACCTTTTTTCTAAGATTATTTGAAATAAAAGTTATTCGAGATATTAAAGCTTTCTTTTAGACTATTATTATTACTTAGTCTAGCTAATCTAGCTATTTTAATAAAGAGATTCCGTATTTCTTCCGGATTTAATTATAGTTATTTTAATAATAAAATATAGTTAGATAAGTTAGAAATCTTATAAGAAATATTAGAAGTTATAGATAATAATTAAGGTAATAGTTATTTCTAGGTAAATACTAGATTCTTAATATATTTCTTAATAAAAAAGGCTTTTTTATAAATTCGTTAAAGATTTAATAAAAGAAATATAATCCGGTAATAGGAAATTTAATATTATTTTAGTTATATTAATAAGGAACTTTCTATAAAGGAAACTATTAATATAAAAGCAGATTAGAAGTTCTATAATTCTTATAGCTATCTATATTCTAGAAAAGAAAAAAAGGAAATTATAGAAGTAGAAATAGGTTATAATATAATTATAGGTTATATTATATTAGTTAATTATATATTATTTAGTTATATAATAGTTAATTATATTAGGCTAGTTATATAAAGCCGGTTTAAGAAATAGTCGGGAACTAGTAATAGCTATTAATAGTATTTACTAATAATAGGAAATAAGAAAATTAAGAATTTAGGAGATTTAGACTTGGATTTTTTAATAAATTAATTATTTAATTCTCTTAGTTACTAGGATTTGCCTTGGCCCTAGCTATAATATATAGAGAAATATTAGCTTAGTATTAAAGTCGAATAAAGCTATAAACTAATAATTTACTCGGGATCCTATTTAGCTTTTATAAGAAGGCAAGTTCTGGATCTATAAGATAATTCTAAATAGAATTAGTTATAGATTTTAATAATTTGAAGTTTAGTAATATATAGTTTATAACCGGACTTGGTTAGGTATGATATTTAACTAATTAATAGATCTAATTAAATTACGTACTCAAGGGCTTTTCCTTAGTACTTAATAAGGAGCCAAGATCTGGATTTCCTCGGTCTATAAGATGGCCGGAAGATAGTTATAATAATTTCTTTAATAGATTAATTACTCTATAAGATATGGTTAGTTATAGCGGAAGCAAATTTATCCGTATTCGGGGAATTTTTGTATAGTACGGAAGCGTATAATCCCTTCTTGATCCACGAAGGATTACTTAATATAATTAATCTTGTATTACTACTATGTCGAGGAAGAAGAAGAGATTAAAATATATGCATTTTAATGGACAAACCGCCACTGCCTCTTAAGGAGGCTAGCGTGGATGCCGCTGACTAAGGTATAGAAGGTCTGGTCCTTCCCATGACAGCTCTCCCATATGCGTAAAGCTACGCTACTCAAATAACCTTCACTAATCTTGTATTTATACCGGTCACTTCAATCAGTCGTATTATTGTGTTTCTTGTTTCGTTGGAGACTTTATATCTCAGCCTGCAAGCCACAACCGTTTGTCGTCGCCTCAAATGTTTTCCATTCGGCCCATCTTCCAGTTTCCCTTCTTCGCTGCTGCCAGTGTCAGCTCGCATGGTAATCCAAAGATCCAATGGGGTCCTTGCAACGCAACCGAAGTCAACAGCACTGCATCCATAGTGTGCGGTAACTTGAACGTCCTACTCGACTACACCGAGCCAAGTTCAAACGCAACACTAACGCTCCAGCTTGTCAGAGTTTCTGCTGAATTGCAGCCATCAAAGGGGAGCATCCTGTTCAATTTTGGTGGTCCGGGTGCAACGGGACGAGGGTCTTTGGGACTTCTCGGCCCAGCTTTATCAGCGTGAGGGTTCAACCCAAACAGACCATGCTTCTCTGCCCGTACTGATCTTATCTTTTCAGATTCACCGGTGGCTATTATGATCTTATTGCTTTTGATCCACGGTAAGAATTAGGCACTATCTTGGATGATCTTTCTGTCAATCAATGTGACCCAAATCGTGCCTGCATTCAAAAGTGTGGTTGATAATCCGCCGAAATATAGGGGAACTGGAAACACCATCCCATTTTCCTGCACTGATAATGATGTCGACAAGAACAATATGTTAAACGAGCTGAAGTTTGGTAACTCTTCGGACGTTGCCTTGGGAAGACTTTGGACGCAGGGGGCAATCAATTCAGACCTTTGCTTCCAGAAGTCAAACGCAACCGGGAGCCTTATTGGCACAGCTTTTGTTGCAAGGGATTTGATAAGTGTTGTTGACGCTCTTGATGAAGATGGGATGCTCAGGTACTGGGGTGAGTAAAGAGTGCAGAATCACGGACCCAAAGAGCCAAGCTTACAATACGTGATAGGGCTCTCGTATGGCACGACCCTGGGTGCAACTGTACGTGCACCTCCCGGCATAATGTTCCCTCTTTTGGTCGCATTGCAATTTAAGTGATCTTTCAACACGTCTTCGGAGCAGTCAGCCCACAAAACTCACCTATTGAAAGAGTACTGACTCCGAGCTATGAACATCCCAGGTTGCTTCCATGTTCCCCGAAAGGATCGACAAGATGATTTTGGACGGTGTTCAGAATCCACATCAGTATTACCATTCTGCTGCGTATGTTCTTTTCACAGAGACAAATAAAACACCGACCACAAGCCCTCCACAGTGATTTCGAAGAGTGGTCCTCCTCAGACAAGGGATTCTCAGGCATCTTCTCTAGCTGCGTCGCAGCTCCTGATCTGTGTCCCCTGGCTCGAGGAAAGGCAACCGCAGCTGAGCTCGAACAAGCTGTCTGGAACCTGATCAATACCGTCAAATTTCACCCTACCCCTCTAGGAAGCTTCATGCTCGACTATAACGTTCTGAAAGGAATCATAGTACAGAGCATGTACGGGACCTTCTACTGGCCGCTATTAACCACCCTCCTAGATATGCTGATCACTGGCAACACCAAGGATGCACTGCCCGTCTTAATCGAGCTTGCAGGTGGTACAAGCGTAACAGAAGAGTCAAAGCAAGTTCTTCTGGGCGTCATGGGAATTCATTGCGCAGACAGGACAGTGCGTGTGTCAAAGTTCGAAGATTTTCTCCCAGTGGTCGACCAGCTATACAAGACGAGCAAGTTTTTCGGAGACGTCACATCTGCGATTAGCATGATTTGCGCGCAGTGGAAGATGAGCGCCAAGGAGGTTTACAAGGGCGATTTTCAAGCAAAAACGAAGAAGCCGGTTCTGTTCATCGGCAATACGGGCGATGGCTTTACTCCCCTCGTCTCTGCCTACAATGTTAGCTCTGGATTCAAGGACAGCGTTGTGCTGGAGGTCAACGGCTACGGTGTATGTACCGGATCCACTCTTAGACGGTCTCCAATTTAGGTCAAAGGTCATCAGCTTACTGTCATGGAATACTAGCACAGCTCTCTTGCAGTACCTTCCACTTGTGTTTTCAACATTATTTCTACTTATTGGTTGAATGGGACCTTGCCGAAGCCGGGCACCGTCTGTCAGGCAGACAGACCACCGTTCTCGAATACAAGTCTTGCTAAGCGGGATAAGTTTGAGGACATTTCGGACGGCTTGAGGAAGGTGTTTCGACGAACTTAGAGCTCATATTGTACAGTGATTCTCTAGTACCTTGATAGGCTCTTGGATTTCTGTATCCTAGTTTAGCCACCACTCAATTATATAGTCCTCGAAACTCTCCTCACCACCAAGCTTTCTGAGAAGTGTTTCGATATTATTTGTGAAGCCATGAGGGGAATATTATGCCTGTCTATAGAGTAATCTTACATCTTGTGAAGTCCAAGGAGCAAAGAGATTGCCCCGAATCTACTTCCTACCAACACCTTCTTTCTCGGCCCTTAAACTTAGATCAAAGTCAAAGCGCCATCCGTGAGTGCTCTGCAAGGTCTCTCCGGGATGCAACAGAAACAAATTCGAGCCATTTTCGTGAATCAATCTTTAATTGATCACAAGTGGCCATTGCCCCCTCAACGCTCGTGTATTGCCTGAGCTCGACGAACTAGCTGAATTTAAGGCAGACCAATGATTATATTTTGTCCCCCTTATATTACCAACTCTTCCTGTTCATAATAAAGGTCCCGAGGGCAAACACAGTCCTCTATCACCAACGGCGGCAAGCCGGCCTGCTGCCTTGTCCATGTTATCCCCTCCCGTCCATCTGGAATCGTTGCAATAGGAGTCTGCAGAAGAATCTCCGAAGTCTTTTTCACCAAGTCCCGTCCCGTCGTCGTAATCCACCACATCCTCGGATCCTCCCCATACCGATCCATGAGCACACCGAAATACATGAGCACAAACAAGGCGACCGGCTCCTGCTTCCGGATCGCCCAGATAAAATCCGCACCCGCGACCGGGATGAAGGTCAGACAATATCCTGCGATCAATCCCCGTGCGTCCTCTGCAAAGCAGTACTTCAACTGCGCAATCGCAAGCCAATACATATACCTCTCACTCTCCGGCGGACTAGGGACCTCCTGTCCCGCAACATGGATCTCCTCCTTCATAGCAGGTAAGGACTTCGGACTCATCTGACGACTGACAGATGTCATTCTGTCAAGCGCGAGTAGAGTCTCGGAATCCAAGATCTGCATCGTCACATTCCCGAGGCCAAGGACTGTGCCGACGGACATGGGGCTCTCCATGAGCCATTGCATGTTCGTCGCTGCTATATGTACAGCGCCGATCACCATGTCGAATGCGATGCCTATGCGATCTATGGCGCTCATCCGCTCAGGCGGCAGGGCGAAGTTGAAGGTCGCGGCTATCATGGCGAAGTAGTAGAGCAGATGTAAATTATCTTGCGTGATATTACTCAATTCGGTGCGGAAGGAGGCGCTGGCCTTGTTGCTATATTCTAGTGCTGCGGGGAGGTACGTAGCTGGTGTTCCAGACGCTCGAGCTAATTCCAGAGCTGAGAGAGCCAGGATGCCGTTCATCAGGTAGGTGTTTCGAAGGGCGACGCGGGGGAGACTTCAACGAATTAGCAACTTGTTTCTTTCGAAGGGAGGGAGCCGGGAGCATAGCTCATGCTCCCGACCAGTGAAATAGGGAGCTCGGGGCATGGGACAAAGAAATAGGCCGATTACTAGTCTTGCAGGTGCGGTTGGTCTTCGGGGACGGCGACGAGTCCCATATAAGTCCTCGTCGTCCATCGATGCATGAGTTCCAGTTCTAGGAGTCCGTGAGACTCAGGGGTGCTTGAGAAAGCAGCTGGTGAAGAGACCAACGAGTTGGCTGGAGGAGAGACTATAGATGTCCTCGAGTTGATAACCGAAGAAGAGCCTGATAAACAATCCGGTGGATTACTTCTTGCCGTCTTTTTGGGACGTCGAGTAAGTGATGTGGTAGACGAGCTCGCGCTGGACTCTGGAGGAGACTGGTAGACGCAATCAAGCTTGCGAACTATACAATTCGCACAAGTCGGAACTTGCTCATCGCACTGCTCAAGATGTCAGCCTTAGCCTTCAAACCCTTTGGACCAGACAACGAGATCAATGGAAAACCCTCCTAGTCACGTGCCTTTACATGTCGCTTCTTGCAATTCTGACACCCTCGCCGCGATTTACTATGGGCCTCCCTTCTTTTCCTCTCCATTTTCGATTATTGAAGACTGCCCTGTAGTATGCTTAAGGTTCAGGGCAACGTGGCCTTCAGATGAAATCATTCTGGAGATTCTTGTTCTACGGTAACCGTAGATCAGTGGCTGCCTAACAGAACTGGTGGAATGCCTTCTGTGGCGCAGCATTCTTTAGCCGAAGACAGCGTTGGCCCCTGACCTGCTTTAAGTTTAGGCCTGGCTACCTGCAACTCTGGACTACGTTTACGACCCGTTGAGATATCGAAGGCTAGGGGATCTCGCTTGAGATGAAATTGCTTTATCGCGGAGCTTGGGAAACACAATGTTGATTGGCATTGAATTCCTCCACCTAATGTTCTAGGAGGCCTGGACATCTCCAGGACTCCTCAAATCGCGCCATAAAGCCCATTGATATTCGCCCCGCCACTTGAAGCAAAAGCAAATGGGTATACATTGCGCCAAACACTGTCATACATTTTGGTCCCAAATCCCATCGCAATGCACTAAAGCAAACTCCTGCCATGTCGTCAAACCCCCTCCTGAAAATCCCACGCCACATTGTACATAAAACTCCCCCTGTTACACACCGGGTAGCGCCTGGTCTGCATACTTCTGTGCCGACGCCATACTAGCTTGCGCATCTTGCGTTTTCCCTTGCACCTCATAGCACCGGGCCAGCATCCCATCAGTTACACTCATCCAAAGAGTGTTGCCGGACCTGGTTGCTTGGACAGAGGCAGCTTTCGCACTCTTTTCCGCTTGTGGACCAATGACACCATTGAAGAAGCGATTACACATGATGCTAAGACATATGCACATCTGATGTATATTGGCAGTTGTGTTTCCACAAGCCAATGCTGATCTCAGCCGGCTCTTGATCTCGATTAATTCGAGCGGAGGATTCGTTGGAACTGTTGCGCCAACGAGGTGAAATGCCATCCTGATGTCCGGATTCGGGTGATTTACGCAAACCGGCTCGAGCTTCTCCTTGACTGACAAATTTCGATCAGGATTTTGCAGTCCTTTGTCCTGCACGATCCAGAGGGAGTTGAGTGTAGCAAGAATAGCTATATCACGCTCGACTTGGTCCGCCGAAGTCAACGCGGTACTCTTGGCTGTGGTCAAGCTGAGCTTGGGATCCCCGAAGATCTGTAGAGCGGTATCAAAGTCTCCGATACCTTGATGGTAAATTCCATCGAGGTAAAGAGCAAGACTGGCTAATGGGCCTGTCAACGACACTTCGAATTTACGCACGGTGGTCCTGAGGTCGTCAATATATCGTTTTGTTTCTGTCCAATTCGCGAGTCCGGCACAGCAGAAAGCCATATAGATCCGGAAATAACATGAAATCTCGCCACGCCATTGGCGTTTTGACACGAGATCTGGAAGAAGGCCGGAGGAAGATCTGGCTGATCGTATGTCCCCTAGCGAATATCATAAGTATTTGCAAGCCTATAATCGAGATGAGCCATACCTTCCAAGGAGTCCAAGCCAGCCTGCAAGTATTTAAGCCCTTTTTGGTCACTGGAGTTTTTGTGTAGGAGAACCATTCCACATAGTAGATACCTAAGATAATTAGTGACGGTTAATCAAGGGGCTCGATCTTGACTTACGTGATGGAATAGGCATCTTTCTTGCCCAGAAATGTCATCATGAGGTTGTCCCCGCCATCATTTCCAATACCCAAGATCATTCGGGTGTCTTGACTGACAGTGTGCGAGCTCTTCGGGGTTCTGTTAATTGGAATAGCAAAAGTGTCATTCGTTGTGCCCCAGGTGTTCTCGTGAAGTGCTTTATCCATCATATTTTGCATGTCCTTTAGTTTGGTGAGCATCTCAACCGAGTTTCCCTTTATAATAGCGCAAGACACGTCGAGGATATGGGTCAAGCCAATGAGTTGCGGAATATTGCAGCTTTCGTCGTGTTGATAGCTCCGAGCCTGGGCAAGCGCCGTCTGAACATGCTGGAGGGACTCGGGACCCGGAATCTTCAAAAATGCCAGCGCTTCCATAAGAGATGCCGTGAGATGTATAGCATTATCGTTTTGTTGCTTCGCAAGATTCGCTACAGCTCGGAGATTTTGTACGGCGGCATGGTGATCTGTAAGACTGCCGGATTCTAATGCGTGTGATGCTCGAAGGAAGCGGAATACATAGACCCAGGAAAAGTGTTGGTACCTAACGAAGTTAGGCAAGATATACAATTTAGCCTAGCAACTACCCACGTTTGTGCATCAGATATGTGGCCATCCAGAGCTTTCATAGAAGCCTTCGGGTTCTTCTTCGCCATAAATTGTGCTAGCAAGAATTGCATGGCGTATTTGAGGTCGTAGTAGTGATTCTGAACGCTGTGTTAGCCCTACCCATGCGCCCAAAATAATATGAACATACTCTTTCACATAGTGCAATCCCCTTGCTCAAGGCAGTCTCTGCCTCCATCGAGTTTTCCGTCTCCTCAAACAGGACGCCTGCAAATCTCAACCGTATGTTTGCTTCCATCCTGGGTTGCAGTTTGATGCGCTTCAGCGCCGTATCCAAACAGCCTAGGCCCGTAGCAATCAACCCCTCGTAGGCCTCGACGTCGGCAACCGTCATAGAAAGCGCTGCGGCGGGTGCAAGCTCTTGCGCAGCCTGAAAGTATTCTTCGGCTAGCGAGACGAGAAGTTGGGTCATATCAGGCTGTGTATTCGCAGGAGTTAAGGGTGCCATTCTGCTCGAGTTGTAGGATGCTGGGTTCGAAAGGGTTCTTCCGCTGGGTGTGTTCTGCGAGAGGTGGGAGAGAAGGGATGGAGCGAGTGGTTGCTGGAAAAGTTGCGCAGGAGAGATGAATTGAGGTTGCTCAACTTGCTGCTGCGGGGGGGCCGGCGCATAGAGGCCGTTGTTCGCATAGTTTGTATTCATGCCATATTGCATCTGTCCGTTCTGGTTCCAGTACTGGCCATCGTTGGCGGGAGGTTGATAATGGAGAGGGTCATTTTCTAGGAAGGGCGAACGTGATTGCGGAACTCCGTACGCGTTGGGAGGATCTTGGCCAGGCCAGTATCCGTTGCCAGGCGGTGGGCCGCCATGATACGACATATTGCCAACTTCACAACCTCCGCATGGTGAATCCAGGGCTCAGGTTGATCTTCCCTATGAGGTCGTTCGAGGTCTCGCTTAATCTTATCGCCGAAACTTGTCCAGATCCAGGTGTTCGTCCGCGCCTCGGCATGGGGATCTCATCATTTTGAGGTTTCACTCTCTCCAAGGAGAACTTTCTCTGGGAATTTTCACTTATGATCTTTTTCGAGGTCTGTTTTAAAAGCCCGGCTCTTTTGTCGCTTCCACATGGGTAGTTTGCTTCTAGAGCTCAATCACATTCAAAGGCGATTTCCGAAGACTCGAGGAGCACAACTAGAGCTACATTGAACTCGCCGCAATGGAATGGCTAGGCCATGCCAAAACGACTTTCACTCACTCTCCAACTCCTCTTCCCCTCAACAAGAAAGATGGAACATCCACTGATTTAGTCTCGATATGCTACGAAGCAACTCCCCCTTGTCGTCTAAATCCTCTCCTATTCAATGGTCACCTCCAAACGATGTGGACAGCAATAAAGAACGACGGTCCACCTATTCATTATAAGCGCAGGCTGTTTGAGAATGAGGATCCCAATTTCAAAGGTTCATTCGCAGTTGATTTCGTTGTTCCTCCCTTTTCAGAGACAGATGAGAGTCTACCTCCCAGAACCGTGCATTTCACGGAGGAAGAATTCGAGAACATAGGATCTTTGGATACTCGTCCAATGTTAGTAACCCTGCATGGACTATCCGGGGGATCTTATGAGATCTATTTAAGACAGGTGTTAGCTCCTCTGGTAACGGCTGCAGGGGAGCGTGAGTGGGCTGCATGTGTAGTCAACTCCAGAGGTTGTGCTATGCATAAAATCACCAGCAATGTTTTGTATAATGCAAGGGCTACGTGGGATTGCCGACAAACCGTGAAGTGGTTGAGGAAGACGTTTCCAAATAGACCTTTGTATGGGATTGGATACTCCTTGGGAGCCAACATCTTGACCAATGTAAGTTCATCTTGGTCCATGTGCAATAAATTGTATTGATCCAAAGACTCGTAGTACATTGCCGAAGAAGGTCCATTATGTATGCTCAGAGCAGCTGTCATTGTTTCAAGTCCATGGAATTTGGACGCAGGAAACCGGGCACTTCAACGAACTTGGATTGGAAGAGAGATCTATTCCAAAACAATGGGCACTAATATGAAGAAACTCATCGACCTCCACTATGACCAGGTATCTAAAGGCTCTAGGCTGGATTTTGCCAAGATACGCCAGGCCAAATATCTTCATGAGTTTGACAGAGAAGTGCAAGGACCGACTTGGGGCTATCCGACAGAAGGAGCATATTACCGAGACTCATCATCTGTCGATTCGTTGCTCGCAGTTAGAATCCCATTATTTGCCATCAGTGCCAAAGACGATCCGGTAGGTCAAATCTTCCAACCACTTCTGCAAATATCAAAATTAACTCCTTTCAGATTGCGCAGGATGAAGCTTTGCCATACGAAGAGATGAAACGAACCAAGTATGGCGTCTTGTGCACAACCACCCTAGGGGGGCATTTGTCCTGGTTTGAGATTGGTGGAACTAGATGGCATGCTCGCCCGGTATGGCACTCTTCTTGGCACTCACGTTGAATAAGAAAATGACTGACACTTAACGTAGGCAGTAAATTTTCTCAATACCATGGCTTTCGAAGTGGAACTTGATGCTCCTGGCAATGTTAATGCAAACGGATCCGCCAAAGGAGAGGAGCTTGGCGACATTCGATTTAAACCCATGAACCGGAAATGGGCTCCCTAGAAAAAGATCCGATAAGTTTGATGCTGTACAAATAGACGCCTAATGATAGACTGTACATACGAGACGATACTCTTGGGTTTGGACATGCTTTCAGAAAGACAATGATACAAAGAAGTCTAGCACAGATTAGCACTCTGCTTGAACATACCACCGGTACCATGCAGACTGAAACAATAAATACGAGATCTGGTGATAGAACATTTTGGGTAATCGAAGTTCCTGATCCATGTGCATATCCGAGAAATGTTGTACCGATCGCTGTGGAATCCATTCATGTTGGGAGAAGTGTGTTCCACCACTTTTCCATACCTAATCCCACAATATAGCGCCTAATTGATGCTCATGTTCCCAACATCCCCCGCCAGAACGCCTCAAAATGCCATCAATCCATACAATGCCCCTCAAGCAAACGAAACGCTCTTCTTCTTCTTCAATTTCAACGGCCTCGTCCCGGCACTCCTCGTATCATCCTTCTCCTCTCCAGCACTAGGTCTCTTCCTCTTCTTCCTCATCCCCTCTTTAGTCTCATCCAACTTCGCCTTCCGGATCTCCTGCCTCTTCTCCGCCTCCGCCTTCCTCGCCTCGCGGATCTCTTCCATCTGCCGTGCCTTCATCATCTTGCTCTCAATCTGGCCCTCCTTGTCCGCGTTCACCATGGCGAGAATTGTCATCATGCTTTCCTATACATCGTCAGCCCCCTCCCCCTTAAATTCTTTGCAAGGACCTACTCTATCATCCACAAAAACCTTCCCCTTCTTCTTCCCCTTCGGCTTCTCGACACCAACAGGCGTAATCATATTCAGTGCCGGGATCCCCAATTCCTTTTCCGTGTACACTCTCCGCTTCTTCCTCAACGTCGCGAGATTCCCAGCGCTCTTTTGTGGTTTCGGAGGTGGGCCTTTGCCTTTCGGTTTCTTGGACTTCGAGACGCCATCACTTTGTGGTTTGCTACTTGTCTTGCTATTCCTGATTCCAGATTTATTCGCAGCATGTTTAGACGCATGCTTGGATTTCACGGTAGACGTTCGCGAGGGCGCCATTGTACCGGATTGTGTGGTTCGTTGAGGAGGCTGGGCTGCAGATTATGATTTATCACGATGGAAATATTTCTTGAAGCGGCCGCTAGCGCGGTTGCGGGGAAAAAGTCTAGATTTTGGGAGCAGCTTGGGATAAAACAGACGGGTATTTTATTCAAAGCTAAAATCAAGTACTCAATGTCCCTTTCGTGCTTGGAATCTCGCCCTCTCGTCCAGCTACTCTCGTAGTTGCAGCTCTGATAGCCACTGCCAGACTCTTAAAAGCCGATTCTGCTCTGTGATGATCATTGTCACCTCTTATACAGTCAACGTGGATTGTAATTCTCGCCGCCTGCGCAAAGCTCTGAAGACAATGCGGTATCATCTCACAGCTCAGATCTCCAATCTTCTCCCTCTTCAATCCCAGGTCTATCACGCTGAATGGCCGGTTCGAGAGATCCACCACTGCCCTTGACAGAGCTTCGTCAAGAGGGGCATATGCGGATCCGAACCGTGCCAGACCTGTAGGTGTGCCAAGAGCATCTTTGAATGCTGAACCGAGTGCAATACACACATCTTCAGCGGTATGGTGGTCGTCAACTATTCGCAGAACCCATCAGCCTCAATTCCCCGTGAACAGTGTCTCCCGTACTCTAGAAACGTACTGTGGAGATCTCCCTTGCAATTGAGCGCCAAACTCCAGCCCGCATGCTTTGCCAGTGCATGCAACATATGATCCAGAAATCCAATACCAGAATTGATAGCTATAGTCTGGCTTTTCGAAGCCTGCGTAGCATGGCCCTCTCCCCCATTCATAAGCTGGCTATCCGTGTCCGAAGGGAATTCTCCTCCGTCCAAATTGATCGCAAGCTGGATTTTCGTCTCATTCGTATCCCGTGAGAGAGCCGCCGAGCGGACTCTCTGCTCAGTTGATGCGACCATCGTTGTGGTGTACAATGGGTTGTGGTGGCTCTTCAGGGAGCGGGAGACATTTTCAATGTTCCGCGAGATCGGCGTTTGTTCGGGACAATGCAAACAGAGCAAACAGAGTTCATGACGTTGCTAACAAGTCTCACGCGATCTTCAACAAACAAAATACAGATGTGAGACGACACAAATGCCTACTTCTGGTGGTCTTACGAGTGATGAGGCAAACAGTGCTGCTTGGGAGGCTGGAAGAGGGGCGGTAGCTGGGGCTGTAAAAGTACGAACTTCCTCAAGATGGGGAGACATATGGACTAATAGGCGTCAGTGGGGTGCTGGTGCTGCCATTCTCGGTGCTGCTGGATATGTAATGTCTCCTATCTATAGAGGGTTGACTATTCAGTTCAAGGTGTAAGTTTTTCTGAGTAATACATTTCTTCAATGGCTGAGTATTTTTAGGTTTCTTCAGATGTCAGGTACTTTCCACATCATACATCAATGCATTTGTAACTAACCATCTAGGCATGATAATGGGCTCTTGTTTAGAAGCTGATCACAGCATCCGGCAGTACGAAGCCAAGGTCCGAATGGAAAAGCGTATGATCAGAGACCGAGCCGTTTGGGAACAATATGAGCAGGAGTATGAGCAAGCTCCGCGCCAAAGAAGTCATCATGAGGAGAGCCAGTTTACGAGTAATCGAAGTTCATGAAATTCTCAGCTTCATGCAAATGATATGGCTATGTACGCCGACCAGCCATCCTACACAGACCCCATAAACGCCTGACAATGCTTTCATATGTCCGTTATTTTGGTGCAATGAACTTTCTCGAATCCATATTCAGCTTTGCCAACCTCGCGATACATCCACTGAGCTGAAGTAGCGTCTGTACACCTTCCAAGATCTTCATATGTGTAAACCCAATCTCCTTGATGAACTCTAGCTTCGAGTGCTCACTCAGAGTGGGAATCGTCTTGGTGACTCGGAACATCGTGCTGATAATGTCGTGGCTCGAATATCCCAAGTTCCATAACTCCTTCAATGTTTCCAATGCAGCATCAACTTTTCCCTCGTAGCATGCCTTGATCATTGCCTGGACCTTGATTGGATGCGGTGAGTCGACAACCTTGAACACATTGTCTCCACTCACAAATCCAAAGCCAGCAAATGTTGACTGTAGATTGTTGATTGCTTGCCGCATATCACCCTCCGCACTGAAAACAAGAGCAGCAAGCCCATCTTCACTGTACTCAACCTTCTCCGCCTCAATGATCTGCAATAGCCTCTTCACAATTTGTGCGTCCGTTAAACGGGAGTATCGAAGGATGGCGCAACGAGACTGGAGGGGTTCGATGATCTTATTCGATTGATTGCACGCAAACGCAAATCTTGTTGTGGAAGAGTAGATCTCCATCGTACGTCGAAGTGCTTGCTGCGCCCCAGAAGTCATACTGTCTGCTTCATCGAGAATAACGAGTTTTTGTCGGCCTTGAGGAAGAGTGACCTTCTTCTGGGCAAAGCCTTTGATTCGATTCCGCACAACGTCGATACCTGAACACTGTGTTAGCGATTGCTCCGTAACTTCGAGAGAATTGACCGACCTCTTTCGTCACTAGCATTCAGCTCTAACACAGCCTCCTTGTAATTATCTCCTAAGAGCTGTCTGGCGAGACACAGGACAGAAGTCGTCTTCCCAATACCCGGCATGCCAGAGATAATCATATGAGGCATATTTCCCTCCCTCGCAATGATCTTCAGTCGTTCAATCGTCTCGGTATTGCCCACGATGTCATCCAGGAAGACAGGACGATATTTCTCAACCCTGAAATGTTCAGTCCGCGATATCTCACTAGAACGCGGGGTCCTTACCATGGTAATTCATAGTTTGCAATTCCGTTAGAGTTCGGCTTCAGAAGTTGCTTTGCCGCAGCGGTGGACGATTCGCCCATCTCGTCGCCCTTTGTGACAGCCATGATGGTCGAGGTGTTGAAGTTGCTTGTCGCGTCTTGACGCGGTCCAGAAACAGCTTTACGCGGTCCAGTCACGTGCCGGGAAGTTTCATCTCAGACAGGGCGGATTTTTGGGCTTGACAAGCTGAAAGCTCCAATCGTTACCTGGGAGGAGCTTATCGCGAATCCCACGTTTTGCTTTTTTCGATGTGTATGCTGGTACTGTGTGACAAAAGTCCCGTAAATCTCTTCATAAACCTTTCTCTTGACCTCTTTTCCTCTTTGCTATTGCAGTGTTGTTTTCATCCCGCTTTTGGGCTTTTGGTCCGCTGAATAAAGTCATGTTGCTTTACTTCTTCATAGCCATGCTGGCAATGGCCTCATCAGCCAGGGCGAGATATATGATGTACCTAACAGGGTATGATCTCCTCCTCAATCAAAAAACCCCCGCTCATCATGTTCCCTATTCAGGCAACACCAAAACGTTCCAGAGCTAGAAATGGTGTCAGAGGTCACGCACGTTGCTATTGCGTTTATGCAATCATCAATTTTCAACCAAAAGGAAGTCTCTGAATGGCCCCTTTTCACCACAGTGAAAGAAGTCCGTTCCAAATTCGCTGAAGGAACGAAAATCATGATCGCAATCGGAGGCTGGGGCGATACTGGTTTCTCTAAAGCTTCAACGACTGTTAATACCAGAAGGCTATTTGCGAAGAATGTAAAAGCCATGGTTGATGCAACTGGAGCAGATGGTACGCCATATCCCACCCCCCAGACAATCTTAATTCTAATCACAACCAGGCGTTGATATCGATTGGGAATATCCTTGGTATGACTAATGTCCCTTCAAATGCCGTAGATTCTAATTACAAAACAGCGGAAACGGCGAAGACTACAAGCAGCACACAAGCTACGACAGAAAAGTAAAAGAATTTAAACACTATCCCATGCTCCTTGCCGAAATCCGTTACGCGCTCGGCCGAAACGCAATCATCTCAGCTGCAGTGCCAGGACTCAGAAGAGATATGTTAGCTTTTACCAAGAAGAGCCTCCCAAAGATCAGCCGCTCGCTGAACTTCTTGAATGTCATGACATACGACTTGATGAATCGAAGAGACAATGTGACGAAGCATCACACTGGGGTCGTGGCTTCGTTGGATGCTATCAATGCTTACCTTGAAGCTGGAGTCCCTCCACAGGGAATAAATCTTGGATTTGCATTCTATGTAAAGTGGTTCAGGACTGATCCAAATGGCGGATGTGAGAAGAATCCTATCGGGTGCAAGACGGTGTTGATGGAGGATCCAAAGACTGGAGCAGACCTCGGACAATGCGGAGCGTTCGCATGGAACGACAGGGTGCCAAAGGAGCTTGCGTTTTCGTTCAGACTGGCGCAAAGGGATGGAAAGTATGATGAAGTTGGCGGAGGATTTTACTATTGGGATTCGGAGGAGAATATTTTCTGGACTTGGGATACACCGGAGGCGATTGCGAGAAAGTTCCCGCTGATTGTTAAGGAGAAGGACTTGGGTGGCGTGTTTGCTTGGGGGCTTGGAGAGGATGGAAGTCAATTCAATCACTTGAATGCGTTGACCGATATGGTCAGAGATTATAGGAGGATTCATCCAGATCCAATAGTCGAGGAAGTACCGGAACCAGTACTGCTTGAACCAGAGAACGATTCTCACGATATCAAGGACGAGCTATGAGCATATGGTTAGGTTATCTATCGCCATGCTTTTCAGGAAATGGTGTGGATGGAACCAGATGTTCGCCGGTGAAGGTCAGAACTACATGATGATTTATTCCATCCCATTTGACCATGATTTTAATGACCCCCCAGAACTACACAGGCAGTAAATGCTCAAGCATGAAGAATATATGCAATTCCACCTTCAACTCCCACCACATAGCTCCAACCTTTTCTACGCTGATCCTAGCACATCCTCACCCCTCAAAGTTGCCTCAACAACCTCCCAAAACCTAGCCTCATCCATCACAGCACCAAACGCAAAACAATTAACCAGCTTCGCTAGCCCCTTCTTCAACTTTGCCAAGAACCCTTCATTCCCTTCGCCTTGCCCACCACCTTCCACCAATGCACTAACACCCAGTCTCCCCATGAGCAAGAACCACGCTTGCACTGGCGTGATTTCCCAGTCGCCTTTTGGCAAGCTTTGCGACATAGCGTAGAGCTGCTTTAATTCTGGGCTTGGAGCTCTCCATTCAACTTTTTGTGTGGGGGAAGTGTTGGATGTGAGCGGTGGATCATTGAAAGAGGAGAAAACCGGAGGCGGGGCGTGCGAATAGAGAAGTGTGGAGGCCATCATTTCGTGGCCTGAAGGGGAGCCTTTGGGATCGAAGGTTTGGTCGTGGGCGTGAAAGTGCGTTCGGCATGGGTGTTCGAGTCTGTGAGGAATATCAGCTGAGTCGAAGTTCAAGAAAGGGTACAACGAGAGAGTGTGACGAACGCTAGGATGAAGTTTATTGCTATTGTTGAGAGGTTTTGGAGAACTTCCTGTGATATTGGGGCTGTCGCTTCGTCTGGAAGTTTGGGGAGAGCCTTGGAAAGCGCTGGATTGAGGCTTGGGAAGCTAGACGGAGGCATTGGCTCGGAAGAAGCGACTGGCACGTAAGGATTTGGAGGGAGGTCGAAGATTTCGGGAGAGGTCAAGAATATATCACTGTCCGGGGCGAAGTTGGTAGGTGGGGTAATTTGAAGACAGCTGGCATCGATCATTTCGTCGAATGTCATGCTCACAAGGCTATGGCTGGACGAATTATTGGATTGCCATTGTGAGTTTTGCGGAGAGCCTGAGATACTAAAGTTGCCTTGGGGATATTGTTCTGTTAGATTCGGTGCAGTGGCGGGTTCGGAGTTTTGTTCAGACACACTTCTGGTGACAGGCGCTATATTTAAGATCGGGATGCTTGAGCTTTGAAGTGTCGCTTTGATGGCTTCATTCTCGTGTTTGAAGAGCACAGACTGGGTTTCTGCTTGGGCTATCATCTCGCGGAGGTTGATCACATCCTGCTCTAGATGTTTGACATGGTTCTCTTTCCTTTCTCGGTGTTCTCTATGTCTTGTTAATAATACTACAGGTTGGAGCCCCAAGACTTAAACTCTTGTTCGACTGGGAGACTGACATTTGAGCCTTTCTTACTTGAGCTCGTCGGCGTTGCTTCTGTGTTAAAGTAGGCGAATCTCCTTCATCTACGGAATTGCCTGTCATCCCTGTCAGTCAATGAACGAAAGTCCAAGATAGATTGTCTCAGCCAAATTTCGGCGAATGGGGGCCACTAGACAAACTTCTTTAGCTGCCCTGCAGGAATGCTACGGGGGACAGGACGAAGAAAATGTAGATAAGGGCTCTGCTCAAATTGCCACAAATGAAGAATCTTAATTACCATTTCCGGGGGTCGTTACGTTGGGCATAAACTTGACTGTCCTGGACGATACTTTATCGATTGAGCGCTGCCAGAAGGAGCCGAAGGAGCCGGAACTTTCTTCAGTCATGGTGGTTGGGTGCTATCCGAATTCCAAATTGATTCCAAAGGATCTCATTCGAGTACAAGGACTGACGTTCTCAATCCGTAATAAGCATCACCTGACTGGACAGATGCCGGTGTGAAACATAAAAGAACAACCACGAGAAGCCAAATGCAGCGGACTGTGGATCTTTCGTATCAAGCAGAGTCGTGCATTGAACCAGGAAGCTTCATTCAATTACATGGTGGTGTTGTTGCTATCTCTGGCCAACTGAGATGCGATCAATGAAGGTGAGAAAGCCAACAGTATTATGTGAGGTGAGGAATCAAATTCCCTAATCGAGACTAGCTTAATGTCACGTGATCCAGGGGTTGTTTTAGATCAATCAATGATGTTCATTTATTTTTGCGAAGAGTCCTAGTGGCTTCGCGACGGGTATCATGGAGTCCGCAGGATCTTCTAAGATCTTCCCAAACAATAGGTAGAGGCTATATCGTCTGGGGGTATGCGCTGAAGCTTCAATTTGCAGCTAAAATCTCTGCCGCGCCTTGAGCTGGTAAATCTTCAACTCTTTCGTCGACCTTCATTCCTGCCTCCTTCTTCTTCTTAACTTCATCCTCATGGGATTTGTAGCTGGCATAACGCAGCGAAGTCAGGACCATGAAGGCCATGAAAAGGATGCCCATCACGGATCTCCTTGTCAGCACCCATCTTAGACCTTCGACCTCGGATTTACTGTCGCTGTTGAGCATGACAGTAATCTTGTAATTCAGCTCTTGGATCTGTAATAGTGTGAGCTGGATGATATTTGAAAAGGGGACACCACATACCTTGCTCTCCATCGCCCTCTGTTCCATTCTCACATCCATCTTTCGATCATCAAACATCCCTTTTAGCTCGTCTTTAAGAGCAAGAAGCTCCTGGGTCATCTTCTGGTTCAAAATATCGACTTCATGCTGCAAGAGTGTGCGTTCCCGGCGCATAGTCTCCTCAGTCTTCTTGCGACTATTCGATATTTCTGTCTTCAGCTCAGAACATGCTGCTCGGAAGAGATATGTTTCCTAATGTCATCAGCCACAGTTCCTGCATTATAAAGCAATGGCCAACTCACATTCTCGACGTCGCTCTTACTGACTAGACCTGCTTTCGCGACGTCGAGGTTAAGCGCCAGTAATCCTCTCACAGCCTTCATAGCCGTGATACTTTGCGCCTCTGTAAACCCTCCAGCCTCGACCTGCTGTACTAATGTATAGGTATCGAAATGATGAACATATGGTGGCGTCTGCAGATGCGGCGGTTTTGCTGCATTTCTTTCCTCTGCAGTTTCAGGCGGTGGCATCTGTAATATCGTTTCGAGCGGTGGTAAAACATCCTTCATGTTTGAAGCAGCTGTTTGTAGTGGCGTTGGTTCGTCCACACTTAGTTTCTCATCAACAGGCGCGCCGTCATCTCCAGGCAATCTAGCAGCTGCCTGTGTCTCCTCTGACAATGGCGCAGACGAGGAGGGTTCCCTGCCCAAGTTCCCGTCATCTTCATCTTCGGCCGTTGTGTCCTGCAATTTCTTTCCTGCTTCTTTGCCTCTGTCACTCTCTTGCCCATCCTCCTCGGGCGTGAAAACCTTCAGGCTATCTTCAGCGTCTCCATGGTGAAGAAAAGGTTCCACAGCTTTGCCATGTCGCTGGACAAATCGTTGCCCCTTCCTCCCTGTCGTTAAGAAGCTTCTCGTTTTCAAGCATTGCTGTTGAGGACGTCGTGCGCGTAACCGTACAGTATTTGTCGCAGGTTCACTGACCCGAATTGAGCGAAATAAATGCGGATACAGGAAGGTAAGCCGTGTCGTTGACATGACTTCGGGGTTGGGGAGTGCTGACAAAAGTTTGAGATTTCCTGGTTATCGGGCATTCGATAGAGACATCCTGCCACGTGAATGCACCCCTGTCGCAAAAATCCAGCCTCGTCCGGAAGGCTGAGCAAGCCAATGTTCACGACGAAAGAGCGATTTCTTGATGGGTATTTGAGCTGATATTTTCAGTGATGTCTATGATAGAAGTCCGAATAACAGACTTGTCCTTTTCCAATATTCTTTTGCAACTTGTTGAAGCCTCTTCCGTGACCCTGGGTCAAGATCTAACTTTGAATGTATGGTCGCCTCTAAAACTTTTAGTTCATCCTCAGCAGCTAGTTCCGACAGGTCAAGAGCAGATTGTAGAACAAGAACATCAAATAAGGTCTGTTTCAGTACCTCCTTGGTGTTGTCGTGCTCAATGACTGTGGGAATGTGCTCTTGCTCGATGGGCCTGTCCTGGTGCTCTTCGTCAACTTCCCCGTTTGTTGCATTGCCATTGACCTGAGTTGAATCCTTCCCCTCTTGTACTTTCAGGGCTGCAGTCCACCGTTGGCCCAATTCCGCACGTAGATTCCGTTTCAACACCCGAATCGCTCTTGGACTCCATAGATCCGCACCAGCTTTCGCCATATCTAAAAGAAGACAGTGCAGAAATTTGAAAGTGCTAGGAGAAGGCTGCACTGGGAGCTCTGGATCGCCTTCCCATAACGCTCTTCCGGCAACGCTCTTCCTGGTAAATGTCCCATCCAAAACTTTGAGCGATGCCCATGAGGTTGTTTTTGCAAGCCTTTCGTGTAAGGCGGGGACCAGTGAGAGACCGAATGTCTGCAACGAAACGTTTTTGGGAAGTTCTGAACGAATGTCTCGGATTATGCGAAGAACATAAACAGATATTTGCCCAACATAATCGCTGTCTTTGTAAGCTGCAATTAAAGAGGCCATCTTCTCGTGGAGAGCTGTATAAGCCTTGCTTAAACTCTCATCCAAATGGTTCTGCAACATTTGTGGATCTTCGGTGCTCAGCAAAGCATTTCTTGATTCCAAGCTCAGATCATCCTCGATATCTTCCAGATCATCGTCCCATCTTTGTTTCTTCAGCTGCTCTAGGACAACAATAATCTCGTCCACGAGATGTCGCCATGTCTGATACCCTCGGAATGCTCTTGATACAGCATCGTTTCTGCCATGAGTGCGGGCCAGAACGCCCTGCTTAAAGAGGGCCGCTCCGTTACTGATATCCATTTCCAGCATGGTATCGTCCCATAAGCTTTCGTGCTTGTCGGTGATACCTTTCGTCCACGAGCCTAACGTCGCCTCAATTTCCGTGGTGACGAGATGTAATTTGCTGACCCTTGATTCAAGTAGCTGTACCATGCGATCATTTATCACTTGCCTCAGCCCATCTAGGAACACCGAAGGATCAAATCCCTTTGCCTTGCCTCCTTCCTTGATCCAAATCTCAAGAATTTCCGTCCGAAGGTCTACGACCGTCTTGAACTCGGCCATCCGTTCCAGAACTTTTGTCAGTCCGTCTAACGCAACCTCCGACGCCTTTTTGGCCCATCCCTTGAGCATGGATACGGCGTATTCTCCCTCTATATCATCGTGTCGGATATAGGGAATGAAGAACAGGATCTCATCCCCAAACCATTTCTCGCAGACATCTAGTCGCAAGCCCTCCAAATCCCGAAGGGCCTCGTCTTTAAGCAAGGGCTTCGTCTTCAAGCCTGCGAGTGCTTCCGAAAGTCGTCGAGGAACCAATGCTTGTACATCAAGCATCGTCTTGGTGTAGAGCTCCAAAGATCTCAAGATTGCTTGGCTATCTTGTCTGGGGTCTGCGGTAGGTTCAAGGGTCAGAGCGAGAGCGTCACCCCGCACACGTAAGAAATACCACAGCACGTCTTTTGCTCCAGAGCTATTAGCCAGGCTGTATGCAGAAAGTGCTTGGATGAGGCTGGTCCTCTGACTGTCTGCAACAGTTTTCTCAAGTGTCCTTTTGATCGCTCCGGATAGTCTTCTTCGCAGGGAATCCAGTTTTCTCTTGACATCTTCCACCGATGCCTTTACGTCTGCGCTTCTTCGTGATGCTGATTCAAGGACACTCTTCATCAACAAACGGCTGAGCACGAGGACCTTCGCAGCCAGCACAAGATTCTTCCCTCTCCCATCTGACGATTCGGCATGACCATCCACGTTCTTCCTCAAAAGTTTTCCAGCAACAACTCCACACATGTCCAGAACTTTCATTCTGGCCGACCACCCCATTTCTTCCGCATCCTTGCCCCCCCTCGTCTTGTCTTGCATCTTCCCCAGACCGCTTGCCATTCCCCCAATGACACCCCTCCCACAACCTTTACCAACTCTCCCGAGTTTGTCCTCAACATCGCCAATGTCCTCCCTCATCTGCAGAATCATCTCTGCTGTTCCCAGCAACTGTCTGTAGCTTCCGCCTACAAGGGTTCGCAATCGTGCATTCTTCTCATCAAGTTCGGCCGTAAGACTTCGGTGAAACTGTCGGACTTGCGGGAGAGGATATCTGAATGCTTCCGCAGCGGTGGTGCACGTAGTGGGATCGAGATTCTTGTTCGCTGCCATGTTGGCAATTTATTGGGTTCGTACAAGGGACATCGACGGCGAGCAGATGAGCCCCAGTCAAGACTGTGCGCCAAGCAGATTCTTCAGGTAATGCCTTGTCATCCAGTCCCAATTCGCCGCCGTATGGTTTCTCTCATGGCTGTGTTGTGTGGTAAGTTGGTGGGGATGTTCGAATCTTGAATTGAAGCCACGAATTCTATCTGTGCGCAGCCTTCCTCGCGAGGCTCGGAAACCGCTCCTCCTACAACATCATCCAACCCACAAAATATCATGAAATAGGCAATAAAACTCGAAAAATTGCTGAAAAACAAGTCTCATCTGATTGGCTGTCTGAAATTCTGAAATCATGCCCTGAATCTTCACCCGTGGTTCACTTGTGCTCACGTGATTCTCCAGAGATTAGGTTGGGCGCGAATGGCCTCGGCATTCATTCCAACCTCCTCCCTCGGCCATTTTCTTCAGGAATCACCAACAATGGATGATCGGGCTTCAGCTATGTCGTCCCGCGATCGATATGAGCTTGAAGTAACGCACTTGATTGTGACAAGGGCTTGGAATTCACCAATCAAAGGTTGCGGATAATTCTAACCATTTCTCAGCCGCTGTGCTGAGCACAGAGTCGAAGTTCAGAAACGGGACTCCCCAGCTTCCTCGTCTATCAAGTTGCTAATAAGGAGAGCAAATCTGAGGGCTCTAGAAGTCTTTCGCTAATGCCTCTTCATCATCTGAGGTCTTCGATGCCATGACGAACCTTCTCATTCGCACACGCGCATGTAGCGGATTCATCTTCTTGAAGAGATGCACTTCTACCCTCACCCAATCGAGAAATACTTTCGAGTACGAATTGCTGGATGTCAACACAAAAGAGATCCGATTGCTCATAGTCTTACCGTTTCGTCCGAATGCACCAGGAGTATTGCATTGCTTGTTGAGACATCGACCATTGACTGCCGATTGGAACACCACGCACTCTCCTACGCTTGGAAGGACACCAGCCTCGAAATGAGTGATGGAGGAGAGGAAATCGTGGTCAATGACTTCCGGATGGTTGTTTGACAGGAATCTAGCTGCAGCTTTGAGAGCTGACAGTCCCATGAATTCTGCAGCATACGATTGTGGGTAGCTGTTTTGTGTATCGATCAAGATGACACTACCTAATGGAACACTCAAATCTTGCGAATGCGTGATATCTATGCGCAAACTTTGTTGGTGACAGTCTGGCTTGGACCAGAACGAGACGAGATTTCTCGAGCTTTGGAATTCATCCGCGAGATCTCTGAGGAGTCCAGGGAGTTAGAAGGGCGGGTGAAGTCTGGTGGTAGCGCTTTGGTCAGAGACTCGTCATTGTTCGTGAGTGTCCTGAATAACCGTCTGATGCGCAGGATGGACTCACAGGAGTGGCGGCATTCCATAAACTTCTGCAACGCGCCTGGTGGCTGGTGGAAGCGGGTGGTAAGGGCAAAGGGGTTTCTTTGTTCTCGATTTCTGAAATACTCTCTCCTCATCTCATGCACTCCCAACACACCAAAAAAAAGTTCAGTTTTACCAACTTTGCTAAATCGCATTCCTTAGACCGTCTAAAATAAGAGGATGCTGACTCCGCCGTCATCCAGTGGATTGTCCAGGAAACAGTGGCTGCGAAACGACTAATGTTCTTTTGCGAGTCGCAAACTCTGGACCCGCAAGATTTAGCTCAATTTCTCGACGCTCTCTCAAAATCTGCGGCCATATATATGCCTCGCCTTTCTCTGATCGAGGGAAATGTGCTTGACTACGACACAATTTCTCTCGCCCGAGCCTATCTTCGACCAACAACCGGGTGTACCATTCCCTTCACCAGCACTTTATCGAACCGGAATGGCTCTCTGTACGGACACCCGATACAAAATATTTGCAGTACTTAATCTGGCTTATGACAGTGCCAAGATTGTTCCCAGTCCAAACTATACATTGTCTGTCGATGAAGTATATAAGCAGCTGGTCGTGTCCCTAATCAAGGAAAGTGGGCGTTTTGATGTTCTCAGTCTTGCGAACCTACCTGTCTATCCTCGACAACTAGACATGCCCGTCCCCTCCTGGGTCCGACTGGACTTTCAGAGTCACCAGCACTGTCAACTCGCGCATAGTAGCTGAGAGAAAAGTTTAGGCAGATAAAGGGTCTGCAGCCGTTGCTAGCTCCTCTGATGACAACAACACATTAATAGCCAGAGGCTTTATAGTCGACACGATTGATGGTTTGGAAATGTGCTCAGGCAGAGTCAAACAAACTATCTCAGATCCAGAACTACACCAATCCAAGTCCCACAAAAGTAGATATAATGGCGTTGAGACCCTCAATGTCACCTCTCGATCAATGCTTACAAATCGCCCACTCCCCCCGAGCGATTGGTTTCCCGTTTCTCTGTCATTGTTCCTACAACAATGTCGCGAGTTACCCAAAGAGCTCATCTCCTCCACCCATACTGCCGCCTCGAAATATCCTGCTTTTGAAGAATGATACATAAATAGTCACAGTATCATCGTTGCCGGCCGAACGATCAACGAATAGGTCAACGATCTCTCACTCCCTGGGTTTAAGCCTATCACTACCACCTATAATCCTTTTCGTGGTGCCGATTTCTCCGACCTCAATCTGGCCTCTCACCCGCAGTCTTAGCGCTTCTTCACTACAATGAGTGGATATGCCGGTTGAGGTCCAAGTACTTTCCAACCGGGTGACAAAGTTGTTCACATTTTTGGCTATGCTAGCCCTTTAGTTTTGCGTCTGGTTGGGTCACACTATGAGCTTGTCATAGAGTGTTATGTACATGGGATCATTCACGGTGAAGTAATGCGGGGTCCGTTGAAGAAATATTGAGATGGCGGTGGATTTTGAGATCAGATGAAATGAATCAGTCAGATAGTCGATTGAGCTAGTACTCAGATCAATCTAACATAAAGCCGTGAGGACGCCCGAGACCTGTCGAACACAACAGGCTGGCCCTGTTTATCACAGTAGTTTGCATTTCAGGAGAGCTGGGAAGAGCAAATATGAATAGCAGGTCACCACTACTCCAATCCAACAACTGTCAAGCTTCCGAAACAGGGGGATAGTCTCGTTCATCCTCGTCTTCCTCCTTAGGCTTGTGCTCTTCCATCTCATCCCCTTGCCCCTCCTGCTCGTCTTCCTCATTTTTGTCCTTACTGTGTATGTTCCTCAAATGTTTTGTCAAGTTGTCCTTGCGTGGGAAGGGTTTTCTGTTCCTTGCTCGGCACTTGGCGTGTGGACAATAATATTGCTCACTTCGCTTTTCATGTCGGTCCTTTCCATGACGAACGAGGTCTTGCTTTCTGCTGAAAAATCTCTTGCAGATAGAGCACTGGAGATCTTTGATATGGTATTTGGCGTGTTTCCTAGCGAACGAGGAACTCTCCGATTAGCGTTCTTGAAGTTGTGATCTATTTAAAGGTCAGATGTCAAAAAACGACTCACGTGAAATCGCACATTCGTGGAAATAATTTGTTAGGACAATGGGGACAAGTGTAGTTCCCTGTTCCCGTTTTTGGCGATGGTTGAAAGCCAGGGGTGGCTGGGGAAGGTTCTGAATATGAAGAGGAGTGGACCGTTGTTGGGGTATCAGTCATTGATGGTGTGGCAATCTCCAGTTCCTTCTTTTCGTCGTCTTGAGTGTAGAGAGATCTTCCATTTACATTGATGCCGACCTTCGAAATGCGGTCGGATTGTGACAAGTCTTCGATATCCCCTCCCTCGTCGATGCTCATTGCGTCGTCATCAGAATTACGTTCTTCGTTGGCGATTTGGCTTTGTCGATCTTCTTCCTCTGACATCATCACTGTCAAGTCATTGGGAATGTACACTACCTCTGGGGACAATGGTTGTTTCATGTGCGGTTGTGTAGGGGAAGTCGTTTCAAGAGCATCCTCAAGTAACGGCAAGGGTCCGGACTTGATGGTTTCTTCATCAGTTGATTCGAAGTCGCAGTTCATAAATGAGAGCAACCAGTCGTCTATTGCCCACTGCGGCTCCATCATTGTCGATGGAACAGAAGCTGCTAGATCAGACGAGATCTTCACCATACTATTTCCCATGGCTTCCAAGACCTCTTCGTTGTCGAGAGGAAGACTTAAAGTCGCTCGAGTTGTCCATTGATCCCGCAGCTCTGCAGATCTGCGTTCTTCACTGAGCTGCAGAAGGTTAGCATGATGCTTGAACGTGGTACCACAGCGACTCGAAGATCAAACTTTATTCTTGGTATTCGTGACCCAAAATTCTTGGCATTGTTTTGATTGGTGGACTCAATGGAAGCACTCTGAGCGTTGGAGATATGAGACTTACTCGGAGATTTTTTGCTAAGACCGGTTTGTATGCCGTACATAACTTCTTGCAGCTTAGACTCAATTGAACCAGATCGTCAAAGGAGAGAAAAGCACCTATTCTCTGGTGTATGTCGTCGGTGAGCTCAGTGAGTTTTGGCAGAGGCAGACCACGGATTTCTCGCTTCTTGCGGTCTGGAGGGGGAGTTGGTGGAGGACGAGGTCCATCTAGCTGCAGCTTCGTGGGAGTACAGAAGGCGCATCGGGGAACACCGCACTCAAAACAACGAGCGAACAAGATACTGATACCTGAGCGTCCGCAGCTACACTGTTCAGGCGTCCGTTAATCTCAGAGAGGAGGGTTGTGGTTTTGGGCAATCACTCACGCAGTCCCAGACAATGGGATAGCCACGGGGTTTTCTCCTGTTCCTGGCCCCGACAAGAAGCGCAGCAGCAGCACCCAGTGCGGGCAATGCGAGAGGCTCACCAGCAGGGGCTTCGCGGCTTGAACCATCATCTGTGGGGCGTGATCTGTTTGCAGGCGGGTTTGCGTCGAGATCTCTGACTGGTGGTGTTGCATTTCTTGGCACTTCGTCCGGCATGCCTTGGCCATGTTGTTCTGTATCGTGTCCATCTCCAGAAAGCGGCGGTGTTGGTGCTGCAGAGACTGGCTCTGACGTAGAATACGGGAGATGATGATTATTATTAAGACTGGGGTTGACTGTGCTTGGTAACTCAGTGATTGTAGTTACCGCTCCCTCGATTCTCGGGCTTCAGCTGTTAGTCGGAGTATATTTTCAAGGCTTCGGAAAATTCATGGCCTAACTCACTCAATGACAAATTCTATGGAAGAATTGCCATAGTTGAACGACGCATCCGCATCATTGTAACATTGCGACTTAACAATGATGAAAAGGATGACCCAGAAGGAGAACAATCGGAATTTTGAAGAAGTGAGCATATTGAACCGTGATGCCTTCTTCAATGAGAATGGGAAGAGAGGATCGAAACAATAAGAGAGCCGTAGCCCATGACAGTAATTGATAAAGTAGACTATAGTCACTGGGAAAGGAAATAGAGGTTGAATGTTACACAAAAGTGGTAAGGCTCTAGGTTTGGAGGCACCCACAATCCATCCCACCCGATTCTCTGCACGTGATGATTGGAGGCCTCCAACGCAAGCAACAGAAAGATCAAAGACCAATCGTGATCGAATCTCAAAGGATCACAATCCATTGGCTATCATCGTTTCATACTCCTGACATTATTTTTTGGGGGGAGGCCTCCAAGACCGGCTTTATTTTCAACCCCTTTCTCATTCATTCTGAGGATACCTTGAGATCCTCTCGACTCACTTCCTCAAGTTCAACTGTTCAGATGCTCCGGATCCCCAGACCTCTCGCTATGCAATCTAAAATACAACTCCACCCATATGCTCAAGTAACCCAATGAAATTTTCTACAATCCATCCCCCTCTGACATCGATCGAGCCTATTTCAAGCCCAGCCAAAAACGTCACCCACACTCAAACCATTAAACCTCACCCCCACCAGCGCAACACAAATCCCAATAACATCAACAACCACAAGTACCAACGCAGCCGTCATGAACTTCGGGCTAAAGATCCGATACAACATCAAATGCCTCCTCAGATGCCCTGCCCACATCGTAGTCGCAAGACACACAACAGCATAATACGTCACATGCCAACTCAATGCCGTGACCACACTCCTTAACAATCCCTTCTTCCGCGGTTTCTGTTTCCATAGTACGAGTAGGGGAACAGCGGACGCGGCCAGGATCTGCGCACCGAAGGAGTTGAGTGCGACGAGGACAGGGGACCAGGGGTAGCGGATTGTGTGTAGAGGTATGAACGCCGATTCCCATTGGATACTGGCTAATGTTGCTTGGTGCCCTGTTTTGAAGAAGTGGAAGGAGCCTAGGAGCGCTAAGACGATGGGCCCTATTGGGGAGGAGGTTAGGGAGAGGAGGTCGAGGATTTCGAGGAGGGTGAGGATTTGCCAAGCCATGAGGGAGATAGCGCCGGCGCCCATGGGCTTTTGGATCATGAGGACGCAGAGAAGGATGTTGGTTACGAGGAGGAGGTACCGTGTGCCGTGGGCGTTGGCGAACCCTAGGATGGTGACTCGGGCGCCGGAGCTGTTGGTGATTTGAGATCCTGGCGTTGGGGTGGCGGTCGTGCTGATTGATATACAAGGAGGAGCATAGCCGAAGACTATTGAGCCTGCCACAAGGGCAAGGGCGAAGACCGTTTGGGCAATTGGGACGCGGATATTTTTCAGCAAGCCAGAGGGGAAGTTGGGAAACCACTCGCCATCATCTGCAGCATCTAGTGTCCAGAAGATAGCACTGAGGACGAGACCGAATCGGAAAGCCCATGAGATCCAAGCCGGTGCCAAACCTTCATAGGATCTGCTGCCAGTATAGAATGATTTGACGATTGCAGGCAGAATAGCTGCAATGACGAATGGAATTATCAGTTGCCATGGAGCGGAGGTTGACGAGGTTGCCGAGGCGTAGTAAGTTGATCGACAGTATGGCATCTGCTCTTCTCTGCAGAGTTTTGAGAATGAAGCTGCCCATCCCAATGCAATAAAAGCCACTGAATGGTAGATACCCAAGGCTCTATCAGCAGCATTCTCAAGTCTAAGCGACGAAAATGCCGAAGCAACTCCAAATGTAGCAACGAAGAACAACAGAATGGAGTCCTCCCAGATGGTATAAGAATTCGAGGCAAAGCCAATGGATTGGCTTACAGTAAAGATGACAGCGAGCCATCCCCAGATGGTGGTAGGCAAAGGGTTGGCAAAGCTCATTCTGCGTCTCATATCTTGGTACCAAACTCCCAGAAGTCCAGATATTGATCCCACAGCGAGACCGAAATCCAAGACATTCTCGCTCTGGTTCATGACCCAAATAGCCGGGCAAAGAGCAACGCCCAAAAGACTGCCCATTAAAGCTCCTCTGAAGAGTAGTCTAGTGGTCGTCTCATCTTCGAGGGCCGTAGCGTTTCCCTTAGCAAAATTGTCCAACTCCAATTGCAGTTCCGCTCGATCCAACTCAGGATCATTGACCGCATCCCCATCATTAGAATTCCCATTGGCATAAAGCATCAAGGCTAGCACTCCACCAGCCAGGATTCCAATCCCCAGAATCATACAAGGAACATCGAATCTCGCCCATAGACTTCTGCAAATCCTGAGTGTCTCTTCCTGGAACGCTAGAAAAGTCGTATACCCGTCCTTCCAATTCTGGTGCTTTCCAGCCCCAAGAGTCGTTTCTGCGGTGGTCCACAGTGCCTTTGGCGAACCATCGACTGTGCTTTCGTCCACGCCTCTTGCTACATAGTACGCAGCTTGATATCTCTTGATGCCGGCAGCAGTCATCCTCGCCGCAGCTGCAAGATTTTCCCACGCATTGCCCTTCACACCCGCGAACGCCTCCTCAATCGGTCTTCCCAGGTTGTTAAAAGGAATTGGTAACCCAAGCAATAGAGCAAGAGTAGGCACCAAATCAATCTGATTAACAGGCCTCTCCTTCGCCGTCGCCGGGGGGGTCCTATAATCGACTTTCGTCCTCCCAAACACATCTCTCTTGGAGTACATCCATAACGCAGCCTCCACTTCATCATCGCTCTCCCCACCATGATCGCCCTTCCCATCCATGCCATGATCACCCATGACAACCAACAATGTCTCCTCATCCAGCGCCGCGGCCACCTCTCTCAGCACGACATTCATCTGCTCCAGTTTAGCAGTCATGGCAGGGTGATTAGGCCCATATCTATGCCCCGCGTGATCAACGCCCAAGAAATGCGCTATCATGACATCCCACTCCCCTCTCTTCTCCTTACTTAGCAATGGCATGATATGCTCCGTAACGCCATTATCGACAGTGTGGAGATCCCAGACATTCAAGCTATCATACGCCCTACTGATCCCCTCTTCAAAATACCCCGGGAAGAGCGCAGTCCATGTATCATCTCCCAAATGTACGATCCTCCTTCCTGCATCCTTCATTTGCATGAGAAGAGTATCCTCCTCAATTGCCGTCCCAGCAAAGTTCGAGCCTGCATCTACAAACGTAGGTAGTGTGCCGGTAGTAAGGCCTTTCAGCCTCTGCAAAGTCGTCGTAGGCGGGTCCGCAATAAACGGCAGCAAGAAGGCATTCCGAGGCTGCTTCTCCGCCGTCTCGTATAAAAATGGTAGAGCATTATGGAATGCCTGGCTCGGATTATCGGTGCTGTTCTCGAAAAGAACCGTAAAATCGTAACGCAGAGCATCGATGATGATCACAACCGCCTTGTCGAACGTCTTAGGGTGCCAACATCCTGCTTCTGGTGTGCCTGCTCCTTGAAATTGGGTGCTGAGAGTAATAGGTGGGTTGGTACAAGAGGATTTCTCTTCTAGGACGAGGCGGGTGAGGAGGAAGCCTTTGGTGAAGAAGTAGAGGCCCGCGGCGTGTATACATCTATTCTAACTCATTAGCCCTGTCCCTTCAACCGCTCAAGCTCCACCCTTTCCCTGCGAACCTGGGAGCATTCCCCCCTTAAAAATGGGATATAACTCACAGCAACCAAACCCAAAACCCAACAACCCACCCCCACTCCCCTCTAAACCTCTGTGCCTTCACCTCATTCAACCTCTCGAACGCGCCTTTGCTTTCCTTCTTCGCCCCTCCCCTCCTCCCCGCACTCTCCCCACCTAACCCAAAACCAGCCAGTATCCCCCCAACTTTCCTCTCATCCTCGCTCTCCTTCGCAGCTTTGGCCCTTGCGTACTGCGCTGCAATACTATTATAGTTGCCCGTCGCCGCTTTGGGGACTGCTTCTTTGAAGACTTTCGGTGGTTCTGCCATTGTGGAGATCTCTTCCTTGATCAATGGTTGAAGACGGTGAGGGAAGGCTATCGTAAAGAGGTAGGTTTGTCTTTGGTGGCCATTGGTGTTGTGGTGTTGGGCGTGAATTGGAAGTTGGGTTGAAGTATGTTCCGATGTTCTGTCCTGAAGTTCGCGAAGCTTTTGGTGGACGCGCCTCGGAGCTCCGCTTGAGGTGGGTGGCTTGGGGTTCCTTCAATTGTTCTGAGAGCTCTGAGATCTGCGCTGAATTTTAAAATGCAGCAGTTATAGTCTTTAAAGTAGAGTATCTGCTTCTTGTATACTTAGAATTAGATTGTTAAGAGTTGCAAGTCCAAAAGTGAAGTTTGACATCACGGTGCTTGGTGAAGCTTTTGTAGATGGAGAAAACGATTGAGAAATGAAAAATACCGCTTGATCGCTCACGTTTACATCAGAGTTATAACTACAAAAAGAAAGAACGCCTGAATAGTTTGTTCCGTTCCATGTTGCATGCTCCATAGCCTCGTTCTCATCACCCACCCGTTTCCCCCTTGCCCTCCTCAATCCTCTACCCCCCCCAATTCCCAGTCCCTTCTTACCAGCTGAGCTCTCCTACAGAGCCAAGTTATAAGAATACTCATCCTCCATATTCTGGCTAATCCAAAGCACCACCGAGCTATCACCATTAGCACTCTTCCCCTCTCCCATACACACATCACTTACCTCAACATAACCAAACCATTAGCCGCCACATTGCTTACCCCCATACTAAGCGTCGGCCACACGGTCTCCGGCACAATATACTTCAATACCAACACCGTAACACCCCCCGCCATGCCTCCCGCCAGGCTGGCGAAACCGAGGAAGAGCACCACCCTCGCCTTCCACGCAACACCATTCCCACTATAACTGAAGCTGTCTGCGGAGAGTCGAGTCTTCTCGATAGAGTTGATGATCAGCATCCCGAGGGAGCTGAAGATCAGGGGCAGCCAGTCGACGAAGTTGATGTGGATGGGCGGGTCGCTGCCGTTTTTTGCGCTGTGAGACCAGACGGCCGCGTCGACCATTATGAAGAAGGCGAGGGAGAACTGTATCCATTAGCATCAATCCAATTCCATCTTCAGAACGTCCTCCTCTCGAGGAGGGCTGGAGTTGAAGCGATGTTGGTTGGAGGCGGGGAAGGCATGAGGCAGCCTGATACCCTCTTCCCCCAACATCATTTCTCTGAGGTATAGAGGGATATTAAAGACATACCAGCGCTCCAGCCGAGTATACGCCTGCGCTCCTGGCCGTAGCACTATTCATCCATTCCGGCTTCCTGAACTTCCAGAGGCGCTCTTCGGGCATCGTGCTTATCGATCCGTTTCGCTCTGCTGTATCTTGCTATTCCTTGTTCTGTTCTGCACTTGCTGCGTCTCTCAGAGAGCAGTTCGATTCAAATCTGAGTTCCTTTGAGTTTGTGAAGGTGATGAGAGTCGTGAGCTCGTTGGGGGAGTGGATTTCTGGAGGAGCTTCGTGAGCTTGCGCGGCTGACGATGAGGCTTGGCAATGGTCACGTGGTAAAATACTCAATCGAGGAGGTTGTCTGGTTGTCAACTCACTTCCTCTCAAGTTTACATAGTACATTCGTGTCATTTTCGAGACACTTTGAGAATCAATCGATGCATGCCTTGTATTCAGTAGCAATCCCCACACTCATTACTACCATTCACGCCCATCCATGTTATGCGCCATTCCCAATGATCAAGAATTGACCATGACTGCAGAAAAGCAAATGCACTCCCCTCTTTCTTATCACCCTTTCTCATCATGTACATACAGACACCTCTCTTATTTTCTTCCTCGCTCTCATTCATCCCCCACCAATCCATAGCTCAACCTCGATGCCTCCGCAATCAAGAAACTCAAACAAGACAAGCCTTTCCCATTTAATTGTACAAACAAAGCTTCCCATCCCAGCCAGTCAGCCAGCCAGTCGGCAGAGAAAGAATCGAGCATCCAGCACTGCAAGCCTGGCCTGCGGCTTCCGGAAAAAAGAAGGAGAGCAAGAAACTCGGTCTGGGACGTCCACTTCGTATATGCGATTTGTTTTTACTACGCCTCGTAAACCACTAGCATTCCCTTCTCTCGTTTTTGACAATGAGAAGGAAATCCTCCCAATGCATGCCACTCAATTATGACAGAATTTCTTAAATGGAGCGAGAAATCCCTTATAATTCGCGCCTCAAACGCCTTGTTCCATGTCGATTTAGAGAATTAGGAAAGGAGGGCCGATCCTTAGATCTCAACCGTCTTCATCGTCGTGTCGTCTTCAACTGTGGCCGTCTTCGCGTTGCCGTTTGTCATCACCTTCTTGAGGTTCGAGTCGCCGGCCTTCGTGTTCTCCTTGTCATCATCTAGCGAAACAGGCTCGAGTAACGACTCCAAAGTCTTGTTTGGCTTTTGGTCTTCACTCGGTCGTGGTGTCTCAACGTCGACAAGTTTTGCTGGCTTAATGCCACTTGTGTGAACTTTGATAGGTGCCGAGCTCTCTTCTGTCACTCGGGCCAGTGGACTGGATTTGCCATAGTTTGGACGATTTGGACTTGGGACAGGCGAAGCTCCACTGAATCGCTGCATTGAGCGTCCTCGAGGTTCTCCAGTCTCAGCCGTCGGGCTGGCGTAGGGTGATCCCGACGGAGATCCAGCGGCTTGACCGTTCGGTCCCTGTGGTCGGCGTCGAACTCCTTTGCGGCCATACTTCTGATCCATTCTCCATCTCAAGATGTTCAGATATCCAGGTTCAACATTTTTCGACTTGAACTCTCTCAGCTTGAGCTCATTGGTCTCCTCATCAACAAACCATTTACCGCTGTTCAGATCGTCCGCAACTGTTGCCAAGAAAGCAGACCACGAGCGTGCGACAACATACTTGCAGTCGTAATCCCGCCCGAATAGAATAACCTGACCCCACTTCCCTGCTGGACCAGGCGCCAAATCAACAGCCAAATTATTTCCACCCCAATCTCGGACCAAGGGAATCCAGGACGGATGTGCGTAGACCTTTTGGATGGCATTTGATGGTTGAGAGTCCTGGCGAGCAAGTAGATCTTGTCTCCAGTGAATATTTTGTCCAGTCTGCAGCGGGGGTGGTTTGGAAGAGGATGATGAGCTGCCACCGAGGGCCTTCATGGGTGTAGCTGGCTTGAAGTTGACGGGCTCATTGAGGTACTCGAGATTCACTTTCTTCCAGTTATCCCATTCCTGAACAATCTCCTCGCAGTCCAGCAGCATACAGCCAAATATGATACCAGTAGGCATGCCACCACGTTCTTGACCATCATGAACCTGCAATGATTCGCGCACCTCCATGGGCAGCGAGCAGTCTAATTGGTGTTCTAACTCGTTCAGGTCATTGTTTGTACATCCCTCACCAAGCTGGTCATGAAGCTCCGGGTAATTCTCTTCTGCCCACCGATCAATTCGCTTCCACGAGTGCTCGACAGGCGGTGGTGGAGGTAATCCTTCTTGGAACGCCTGTAATTGTATCTCGCCCGGGGTGACATTCTCGAAGTTTTCATTTGCACTGTTGGTTCTTGCGAGGGCAGCACTCGATCTCATGCCGGGAGAATATGGTGAATGCGGGGCCGGGCTTTTTGGTTGTCCGGCATGTGATCCGGGATAAGCACCCCCATTCAATGCGGACGTTGAGTGTCTACCTGCAGCATCTTCGTGATAAGGAGAATTGATATCGGCACGCGATTCGGAGGCAGCGGTGGCAACTGATGTTAAGGGATCGTGTCGACTTTGTCCGAGGGGGACGTGTTGACCTGTTCGGTAAGGGGAGTCGTAAGAGGAATCTGTTTACATCGTTAGATCGTGCATCTTCGAAGCAGGAAAACAAACATACGTCGGTCATAGCTTGTCATGGTATGCCAGAACGATCGTAGGGCAGAGCCGAACCTGATAGCACAATCGTTGTCAGTGACGTCGCGTTATTTCATCTCAGGGCATGGATGGGGAGTGCTTCGTGGTGCGCAAAGAAAGGGGATCAACATACGACGCCATATCTGGCGATGGATCAGTGATTGCAGACACTTTGAAGATTTGCTAGTGACGTCTGCCGGGTTGGCGGTGATGCAGAGAGAGACGGACAGCAGCGCACTAACAAAAACGAATGTAGTGTGAAGAAGATGTTGGAGGCTCGTCGGTGGTGTTTTGCCAAGCGGACTCCTTTGAAGAGGTGGTGGTGGAGCGCCTTTTAGATCGATTGTTAAATTTAGCGTGTTCTGGTTGGCCAAGCGGCGCTGCAAGTGAAATATGCCGACGAGGGGAAATGGCGACCGACCGCAGGGCCTTTATTTAGTTTTTCTGCAAAATAATCACGACTGGGCCTCTTGATAGGGGAAGCGAGTGAATCGAGGCATGGAGTGGAGCAGAGTCGTGTTGGAGCCACAATTCCAGGTGCAGGTCCCGCTCCAGCTCCACATGCTATTTTCAACAGTGTGGCTGCTCTCAAGTTGAAGGAGATGTGGAGGTTCTGTGCTGCTTCTTTTGTGAATCTCGGGGCCAGTCGGTCAGCAGGTGCTCGATGATAGGCAGATCATCACCAACCTTGATTGACGTCGTTCACCAGGCTGTCAATCTCGGTTGAATCCCATCCTCGTTTGGGCGGTGTTGATTCAACTGGTTTTCCAGTGGTGCAGGGGTCCTTCTCAGTGAGTGACGTACGGCTCAAAAGGCCAAATCTCCTCCTGAACCCGAGTTGGAAAACACTATTTGCCTGAAGCGCAGGGGAATTTACATACAGCAGCAGTCAAAGATCTCGAGCTCAAGATAGGGGGGGTTGCAAATGTACATCGCACGATTTTATGGAAGCTCGCTTTGCAGAAGCGCAATTAAGTTGGCGCAGCAGGCAAGTAATTTTGCGTTTATGATCCATGGCTTGCAAAGGGAGGTGTGTTTCATCTTCACCATGATCGCCTCGGCCGACGGATTTCTGCAGGTCCCCGTGCGGCGCCTCTTTTGCAGTAAAGGTGCAGCAGCTCCAACCGTTGCGCACACAAAGAGTGGCTGAGGAGCGGTGTGGTTGGCGGCAGCCAATTGACCTGGGCGTCATGATGCAGCTGTGGTGAGCCCCCAAAAAAGCCCCTGAGCTGGCTCGCTTGTTTGCGGGCTGAGGATGGCCAACGAGAGGGAACATGTGGGAAGCGAGGAGACTCGCCTCTTCTGGTGTGGAATATGGAATGCGTTGGTGGAGTTCACTTACAGGATATATTTAGACGATTTATTAGAGGGAACAGATGATCCGGAAACTGGCGATACTGGCGATCTCAGGGCGCAGCAGCGAGTTGTCGTCAACCCCGCATTCTCAAGACTGAGATATGAAAGTCTCGCCACCCAAATGTCGATCTTCTCGATGGCACTCGGAGATATCGATAACTGTCATCGAATTTATACCCGGAGAATTCGGAACATTCACGATGTACGTCAGGATCAATTGTATCCAGTTGGATCGATTCCAGGACGCCTTTTGATACAGCCAGCCATTGGCCTCTATTTGTGGAGGTCGCCCCCGCTATCCCAATTCATCCCCCTTGACTCCACGCCAAATGCACGAGATCGACTATCATACAGACCCCCTAACTCTGCCACATGTATTCGCTCAACTGAAGTAGATGCTCGCCCATACCTCTCTTCGCCACGCTGCTGATACCTCTCTCGGGGCTGGAAAGCTTCTCACTGTAGCATAGCTCTACCAGCGTCTTTAGCTCATCGTAACTGAAGAGCTCTTTCCCACCATTGCCGCTCTCTTTCTCATCCTTAGCTTGCTTGACCACCGCGTCTGGCCCTGACATGAAGAGGTCGAAGAACTTTGCGGCCCGCTCTAACTCAACGTCCGACTCGATGTTCTTAATATTCTGCTGCAAAACAAAGATATTGAGTTGCATCCTTCCACAACCATGCGCATTCATGGCTTTTACCATGCCGGCGTTGGTGACGAGGAAGCTATCAATAAGCAGACCGAGACCGGTGCGAATGAATGAGATCTCCTTTTCGCGGAGGAAACGAACAATTGTCTCATCGTAGGAGACTAGATTAGCGTTGAGGCTCAATATTTTGGGATCTGAGTCTTTCACTTCTTGCTCGAGCAAGTAGGGGGCAGATTCGGGTGATAAGGCAATGGCCAAGGACTGGACTATCTGGCACCTCGCTTCCATGTGGAGGGTCAAAAGAACAGTGCCAGCCAGCTCCTGGTAAGAAGAGACGATAGAGTCAAAGGCGCTGAAGTTTGGTCAGCAATGCTGTAAAAAGTTGATAGGAAATGACTTACACTACCGTTTCCTGTGTCATTGGTAGGTAGACAGGAACTTGGTCGTCTTGGGCTCTGGTAACATCATTCAACAGTGTCCATCGTTTAGTTGCCGGCTTGGCATTGGTGCGAGAAGAGTCTGCGTCGTTGCGAGTGATGTGACGAAGCTGTTCGATTTTGATAGCAAGCCATTTCATACTAGTGTAGAGAACACACAAGGAAGAGATGACCTCGCGATCTTGAATAATGTCATCTAATCGTAAGGGGGTTTCGTTTGTCTGCAATATGAGCAGACCTGTCTCCTTTTCCAGCTGCTGTCGATCGGCTTCCTCTGAGGTCCAAAGCTTCTGCATCGTGTCGTGAATATCACCTGGGCCTTGAGCTAGTGATGCCGAAAGCTTGAGGGTTGTGCCGTCCGAATCCCGAACTCTTGATACAAGTGATCTGAACCAATCGCAACAACGATCATAGTATCGCATCATTTGAGTGATGATGAGCTGGCTGAGAGCTTGGTCATGAGGTATTGTATCCAGCATGCGACAAAATGCGGTGATGAGGGCGAAGAATACAGAAGTCCCTTTGAATACGGGCCTTCGAGCAACCTTTGACCATTGAGGATCCTGTTGGAAAGAGTCGGACTCTTCGAAGACCGAATCACTGAGTTTTCCCAGGGTCTCATCGAGCTGGGGAAGAAAGACGTTGAGGAGGAAGTTGTCCAGGAAAGAGGTCAGAGTACTGGTAACAAGATCAGAGCCTGGCGGCACTATGATCTTCAGCCTCTGTAAGAAGCCGAGAGTTGGCGGCAAGAGCAAGCTCATGTTGAAGACACTGGGCTCCACTAATGACTTGTGAGCTCCGATAACACCATTTTTGGCATCAAATGCAGTGCTAGCAATCCGTCGCGATCCATGACGCTCAATGGTGCTCTCCATCCTGTTGGGAAGCTTTTTGCCATCTGGGCCTTGCTTTCGGCCTGACATGAGACCTGGAACTGCGGCTCTTATGATTCCTTCCAGCTCTTGATATTCCGTAGTCATCTGGACGGATTTCGAATCTGCATCGGCAAACTGGAACAGGGTTTCTCGCTTTGAGTCTTGTTTCGAGCCTCCAAGCTTCGGTGAGGAGTTGAATTGATACACATCCGCATCGGTAGTGACATAGTTGTGCAACAATGACCGAATCTCATTCTGATACAAATTCCAGAGCTCTCGGAAACCTCCAAGCAGCGCTGATGAGTTTGTCACGCCCTCCCTCCGTACAATAGCCTTCACAACATCATTGAGCACCCGGTGACTTTCCGCAATAGCTTCGAATTTGGCATAGAGTGTCCAGAGAAGATCGTATATGACATCTGCACGAATATTGTTCTCGCGAGCGCCAAATGCTTGGTTGCCTTGAGTCTGCGATAATCCACCTCGCAAAGAGCTGGGATGCTTCTGATCAACCTCGCCGTTGGTTTCATTGACAATGCCAAATAGTTCGACTGGCAGTCGCTGTTTGATGGTATTCACAGCTGACTCGAGTCGACCGAGCTTGTTCAGTGACTCTACCAATAACTCAATATAATAAAAGGTGTCTGCCTCCGGGTTCCTGGACGGGTCCTCCACTATCTGCTCGGTGAGATCCATTGTATCCAGCACCTCATAGAATGGGCGTATAGAAGCCGCTTTGTCGGTCTTCTCCCTCCCTAGCGCTCCCTGTTCTTTCGCAAGAGTCTGCCATCGTTCTTGGCAATAGGGTGATTTCAGATAGAGATGATCATGGAGCTCTTCAATCAAGATATCTGTCAAAGCAGTCTCCTGGTTTGTGAGATAGCTCCTTAGATCGTTCAAAGCACCAATCTCATCCAATGCCGGAACCCTGATTCGCCGAAGGGCAGTCTGCAATATATCCACCGCTGTCAGAAACCTCTTCTCGGATATTCTTGCCTCCAGCTGGTCTGGTACCAGCCGCAGATCCTCAATTTCTGAGAGTGTGTGTATTAAGTCATCGTAGTTTTGTGATCCTATCGCTAACTTCTTCAGCTCCGGATCCGCCGTTGCCAGACTCGCTTTAGACTGTCCCAAAGACTCTTTTAATGTTCGTACCCGCTTTTGGGATGCTTGTATGCTCGACTGAATCTTGTGAAAGGTACCAATTGAGCTGTTGAACCCTTGATGGTGTTCGTGAACGATGGCTTTCAGCGACTCCTGCAAATATCTGTGTGTCCTCTCAAATTCACGGTACTCGTGTGCCCTTCCAACAGAACTTGTGTCTAGAAGCTGGAGTGCAACATGGACCGGCAAACATTCATTCTGGCACATAGCAGGCCAATCCGACTTGATGTGTTCCAGAACGACACCTATCTCCTTCTCTGCCTTGCTCTCGGGTGCCCGTCTCGGACGGGAGTATTGGTTTCTCGTCGCAGGAGTAGAGTTTGTGGGGATTGAAGGAGTGCCATATCGGTCACCATAGTCGTTGCCATAAGGATCATAGTCGTCTGTCTCTCTGATGGGTGAACCATATCCTCCAGTGCCATTACCGTTGGTGTACGGGTCCTCCCCAAAACCACCGTAACGGTTGCGGGACATAGCTAGTCATTCGCGATCGCTTCTTTTTTCTCGAGATATTGGTGCCATTCGCAGGTCTCTGGAAGTTGTCGATCTATACTATCTGCCTGAGACGCGAAATGCGAGATGCGGTCACAGGGTTCATCTCGCTCCCAGACTAGCGCAGGAAACAGCCGAGCTCTTGCATTTAAAATCTTCATAGTGTCTCTTAAGGCAACCTCTTCTGCCCACAAATAACACAACACAATTTTGAGGGAAGAATGCTCGGCGTCTACAATTATCTCTCAACTAGACTGTTGAGGAGGGAATCTTCCCAGGGAGGTGTCAAGTCGAGTCAACCAGAATTGGCTCCCTTCTCTCTCTTCTCTTCTCTGCCACCGGAGCTTCGACGAAAGATCTGGCATCTAGCTCTGCCTACGCGACTCATTGAAGCTTCGCTAGATTTTCAAAGTATGCAGTTTCCTCTGATCCTCGAACACTCAGCTGACGTGTAAACCAGATGAACAATGCGGTTGTTGTTTGAGCCCACCAAAAACTGGCAAAGAAGACCGTCGACAACTACCTGTGCTCTTCGCAGTCAACGTTGAATCCCGAGAGTTCTGCCTTGAGCAGTACATTCCCTTCGCAAATACCTATATTCACCCAAAGCTCGACCTGATTTACATCTCGTGGCTGAACGCAGATCTCGTTACTCCACGTCCGAAGTTCTATCCTATTCAAGACCAGCCTTTGAGGAAGCTACACACCATTGCAATGACAATACAACGCGGCCCTAGGAGCCCAGAGAGATTTGGGGCCTTTGTCAGTTGCCTGCGTTGTCTCGGGAGTCCACAAGAGATTCAACTCTGCCTTGTTGGTCCCAAACTGCCCTCTCTATTCTCCACCACCGCCGGCTTTTCCATTTCAAATGGGAACATGGTTGTGTTGTTGGACTGGGCGAACAAGGTTGAAGAGAACATGTCACAAGAGGTGCGGTCGCATGTAATGAGAGCTCTTGAGGCGGAAGATGCTGCAGCGCCTGGTTTCAGCATTCCCGCGATCAGTAAGAGGCTGTATTACGTATTTTCTGGTCCTTAGATGTCCTCTCCGTCCTCTCCGTCCTCTCCCTTCTGCTCCGTCACCTTCTAAAGCTAAAATTCCAGTGCAACCTTATTCCCCATGCTGCGAATCTTCTCTTTGTATAGATGTTTTTCCCGTCTCCTGCTTTTTCATTGGTTCTGCAGACATGTCGAGATGAGTAGACCTAGAGTACATAAAGCAAAGTACGTACGGTATGTCAATACCGATAGCATACTATCTATCTTCACTATACCGGCGCCTCCCATTCCTTTCCTTTTCTGGTCTGGAATGCGGCTACACTCCCCAAACACTCTGGCCCTTACCCCCTTTCCCTCGTGGATTGGTTCAACCTGTGGTATAGGCCTATTTTTGGAGGGAGAAGATTGATCTAGTCCGATTACTCACCGCGGTATCTTCCTTCGGGCATAGATATGGTGGTCCATATCTTTCTGGCCAACATTTAACTATTACAGCGGTGTCGATGTTTTTGAATGATCTTCAGGGGCGTTCGCACAGGGTTGACTAGCTCTTATCTTGCCCAATTTGTACTGCGGAAACCTCTCCCCGCGATTCGCTAAATGAATATCCCATATCATCTTAATTAATAGATCTCACACGTTTTCTCTCCCCGTTTACTTACCGCGGCACGCTGTGCCTAAAATTAATTCAGCCTCTATTTGAAACTATCGGCGCCTAAACCTCCGCCTTTCCACGATCAATTTCGAACATCATCTGACAATACATGTTTGTATCTGTTTCCTTTGCAATGAATAAGTAAAGTTTGTTCCGCTCTTTACCATTTATTTTTCTGCTTCTCTCTCTTCCTCTTCCTCTTCCTCATGTTATTTTCACTGTATATATTTGCTCAAATCGTCATGTTATTCCCCCTCCTTCCCCTCCTTATTACCCTCGCCTGTGCCCTCCCGACGGTGACTGTTGGTGGTGCAGCCCTCAAGCCTTACCAACTCCGCGGCGTGCAATCGCCAATCTTCCATCTGTATCTCCAATCACTTCCAACTGCCAAGAGGACACCTGTAATGGGCCCGGAAGCCACCAGTGAATACTTCACCATCGGTTCTAGCATCCAATCCCTAAATTCCTCTTTGTTTCTGAACATTGGTCCGGGTACTGGGAAGAGTTACTTGCCCTTGAGTCTGGATACGATTAGGAATACGACAGCTTGGGGCTTGGAGGGTGATACCGTAATTACTACTGCGGCAAGTTCTTATGGAAGACGTAAGTTGACCATTCTGAGGAGCTGTGAGTTCTCGGACAGAGGATCGAGGCTGATGGATCGAATAGAATTGAACTTCTTGGCGTGCAATTCCGCCACGACCGGATACTATACACTCTATCTGCAAAAGGGAAGTGATACGCCCAGTGGACAGACTTGCAGCAACTATCAGACAATACATACGCCTTGTCTATGTTAGGGAAGGAAAGAAACGATGGACTGCAGGTTGGAGCCTGGATGAGAAGAAACACGGAGGGATGCCGCTGTAAATTGGCGTTGAGAATGACGATGTAACTGCTAAAGCAGTGACCGAGATGTTGGAATCAACGAATGCTCAAAACACTCCGAGAGTCCCAATTAGGTGACCGAGAGTCGATCACGTGACCTTCCACCGAATGGAATCGAAGAGCGCCTCAATGCCTCAAATCTTGGCTCTCCATCAGTCTCCTGCTCAAGAAGCTTAATTGAACATCAAAGATACCAGTCCTGTCAACATGTGGTTTCACGGAGACGTCGGATTCATGCATAATATTCCCCATGCTCAAATCAAGTGATTCCATTTACCCCACTATGAATTGCCCCTCAATATTTGCACGAAACCGCGGTCTGAGGCACCGTAGAGACACTTGCTGTCCGAGAAAACCGAGCTGGCCCTCCGTCGGTGGCTGGGCGTGGAGAACTTCGAAGCGCAGCGCTGGATCTGGTCCTGAGCGCTGCCCTTGCATACGCAAGCACTCGCGAGCCATGTACATCCAGCACGGGTAGCTGAAGGGATGGCTCATGAGAAAGCTCGAGAGCCTGCTTGGCAGATATAAAAATATGCTGCGGGGGCGGATGTCTTCCTTTGACGCGCGGCTGGGGCGAGACGGGATACACAGCATGAAGCTTCTTTGTGGCTGCCTCGAAGGCTTCAGAATAAGAAGTGAAGTCATTGATGAGGATTCTATGCTTGTTCGGCGGTGTGATTATAAAAGACCTGGTCTGCATTAGGAGGGTGGTTGAGCTGGACCGCCATACATACAGTCAGCATCCTCACTATTTAGAACAAGAACGCACCTGTCTACTGGCTACTCACTTTCTTCTGGAATCACTTCTCAGTTCTGCGCAACCATTTCTATTCTAGGAAAACTGTTTGCCGCCCTCAACACTGCCCTCACTAACTTGTCAACCTCCTGCCTGGGCCTTAAAGCAGCGGGCCACCATCCGTCGCTTCGCCTCCCGAACCAGCAGTCGCGGCCCACAACTTCATCGTGACATCGTTCCCAGCCGTTCTCCTTTAACTTCACTCCGACCAGAAATTTCCACCACCCCTTCAACCATCTTCTTTTGACCACGAACATCCGTGATCTGCTCCTTCATCGTATCTGTTCTCTCGATCCTATCGTCGCGAGAACTTCACACCGCCATATTCCCCAAATCAACACTTTTATTTGACGCCTCATCGTAATCAGCAGCCATGGAAGGTAAGCTGAACCTCCCGCACCCAGTGCTCTTGGAACCGACTCCTAGAGATCGAGGCGAGACGACCGAACACTTGCTAATGCTCTCTGCGTTCTACAGAAGAAGTCGCAGCTCTCGTCATCGACAATGGGTAAGCTCCCACATTCCCCGGCTCGGGCTCGAAATTGGTTGGGGGTAGCTGTTTGAGGCCATTCAGACCGAACATCAACCACCGTTAACCTCCAGACTCGAATACAAGGCCTTAATAAGAATCTGGCTGACGGGCTGTGTAGTTCAGGAATGTGCAAGGCCGGTTTCGCTGGTGATGATGCTCCTCGGGCTGTTTTCCGTAAGTTTTACCCCGCCACAACGTCCTACGTCGCAATCTAGACAACTATGTCGGATTGCGAAAGATCGGTCTCACAGATCACGAGTACTGACATGCCATGCAGCCTCCATTGTCGGACGTCCTCGTCACCATGGGTAAGCGCCCCGAACCCCGCATCATTCACCTTCCCCTGCCTGCGTGGCACAAAGAGTGTCAACTGATAAGGAATATAGTATCATGATCGGTATGGGTCAGAAGGATTCTTATGTTGGTGATGAGGCGCAATCCAAGCGTGGTATCCTCACCCTGAGATATCCCATTGAGCACGGTGTCGTCACCAACTGGGATGACATGGAGAAGATCTGGCATCACACCTTCTACAACGAGCTTCGTGTGGCTCCCGAGGAGCACCCCGTCCTTCTCACCGAGGCTCCCATCAACCCCAAGTCGAACAGAGAGAAGATGACCCAGATCGTTTTCGAGACCTTCAACGCCCCCGCATTCTACGTCTCCATCCAAGCCGTCCTCTCCCTCTATGCTTCCGGTCGTACTACTGGTATCGTTCTCGATTCTGGTGACGGAGTTACCCACGTTGTCCCCATCTACGAGGGTTTCTCTCTTCCCCACGCTATTGCCCGTGTTGATATGGCTGGTCGTGATTTGACCGACTACCTCATGAAGATCTTGGCTGAGCGCGGCTACACTTTCTCTACCACTGCTGAGCGAGAAATTGTCCGTGATATCAAGGAAAAGCTCTGCTACGTCGCTCTCGACTTCGAGCAAGAAATCCAAACGGCAAGCCAATCTTCCAGCTTGGAGAAGTCTTATGAGCTTCCCGACGGACAAGTTATCACCATCGGTAACGAGCGATTCCGTGCCCCTGAGGCGCTCTTCCAACCATCTGTCTTGGGTCTTGAGAGCGGTGGTATCCACGTCACAACCTTCAACTCTATCATGAAGTGCGATGTCGATGTCCGTAAGGATCTTTATGGTAACATTGTCATGGTAAGCTCTGATCTGCGAATTTCTATCTGAACTGTTCTAACAGAGCGCCGCAGTCCGGTGGAACGACCATGTACCCAGGTATCTCCGACCGTATGCAGAAGGAAATCACAGCTCTTGCACCATCGTCCATGAAGGTCAAGATCATTGCCCCACCCGAGCGAAAGTACTCCGTCTGGATCGGTGGTTCTATCTTGGCATCTCTCTCTACCTTCCAACAGATGTGGATCTCCAAGCAAGAATACGACGAGAGCGGACCTTCCATCGTTCACCGCAAGTGCTTCTAAGGTATAGTTCTTCTCCTCACTTTCAAACTTACTGAGCTGACGAGCACTCTCCAGCATTTCCCGAACTTTCTGTGCGTACATCACGAACTTCACGAATATGATCAAGACGAAGACTCGAGCAAAGCATGTGTCCCTCCTGTTTTGCTGTCCCACGACGTGTTTACATTCCGAAAAGTTCTGGTAGCGATTGAGCGAATGGGTGGTCTCATTCGGAGAGCGGACATCTGGCTGTTCTTAGCTGGCTGTTTTCTTGGAGGAGTGGTCAACACATTGTGTCTATCGATCAATTAATCGGTCGTCTATCATACAAAGTTTTTGCTTTCAAGGTTTCCCTGAGTATGTCGTTTCGAGGTTCTTTCCTTTTCATTCATGGCACGGGGATGTTTCTTCTAGAGAATTGAAAAGGTTGTCACTGAAAAGGCTCTTCCCTATTGTCCTTCTGTATGACGCTCTGCTGTGCCTTTTTGCCCCTCTCTATTATTGAATTTGCACCACGCTCCGGCTGCTGGCAACTGGACCATTCATAAGAACCCCACGTCAAGGTCGTATTGAAGATTGAAATGCAAAAACAGTGGGTCGATATCATTTCCTGAAATCTGCAGAGATTAACATAGTGGGGTAGATTAAGGTTGGCGGGGTCAGGGGTTCCACACAAGCGAGCCGTTTTCAGGCTCTCATCTCCGATGTTCCTCCTGCAAAGCGCTGCTCTTCCCATCGCGATTTTTTGAGCTCCCACGTGGGTGAACTTGCTGGTGGTTGTGTTGGAAACTTGGAGTTGGCAAGATGGGGGTGACGTGTTGGTCCGAGGCTGAAAGGTCCCAATCGGTTGGGTGCGCCGAAGATTTGAGTTTATATAAGTGTGCTGCTGCTCTTGGCATCAACCTGTTTTTTTTTTGGAAGGGCACCACGGTCGATACACTCGTTTATCAGTACTTAAATCTTTTGGTTGGAGAGAGCAAGAGCAGTTACAATGGCAGTCTTTCGTTCAATCAGCCTTGCGAGTGTGACTGTGCTTCTAGCGCAGCTTAATGGGGTGCAAGCTACGACCTTCTTGGCCCCGGAGCAGGATATTGTGTTGCCTGCGAGTGGCTCGGCAAGTGAGCCGTTGGAATGGGCGGGTGCTAATAGTCCTTACTTTGCTGGTGAGTTTTCTTCTTCTCAGGTATCGGGAGCTCAGTAAGATTGGGGTGATAAAAACTGATGGAATTAGGGCCCAATATCTACGGCATCAGCAATGCGGTTCCGGATAATTGTGTGGTTGAGCAGGTGGCGTATAATGTGAGACATGGGAGTCGATACCCAGATGCTGGTGCCTACGCACAATGGACTGCTCTGTATGCAAAAGTAAAATTCTCTCTAGATCCCAGTTAGGAGGAGAAATAATGGTGCTGATCACGGGCAGATCCAAAATGCTACCTTCACAGCAACGGGCGAAATGGCTTTCTTGCAAGACTGGCAGCCAGTTCTTACGAACTCGGTTGCGCAGATGTCACAAGAGAGCACCACGGGGTACAAGGAAGCATATGATTTAGGATATCAAGTGAGAACGAGGTCAGCATCTGCATTCGATTTCTTCAAGCAAGCGATACTTACATGTCTTCAGATACCCCAAACTTTACGCCTATGGCACACCATTCATTAGTTGGGCAAACCTTTACCCTCGTGTCGTTCAGACTGCCCAAAACTTCGTTCGAGGTTTCCTTGGTCAAACTGCAACGAATTTGGGATTGATCATTTCAATCAACTCAACGGGATCCCCTCAAGCACTGTTCGATTCGCTCTCGCCTAGTGATCAATGCCCTCTCTTTGTTGATGGAAATGGTGGGACTCAACGTGAGTTTATTGAAAATATTTGCTGATGATCTGTACTGACTTGGCAAACAGAGGTGTCATGGAACAACATCTATCTTCCTCCCATTCTTGAACGTATTCAAACCATGATCACTGGGGATCTGAACTTTACCACAACCGATGTCAACATCATGCCTTACCTGTGCGGTTTCGAATCCCAAATTACCGGAACGCTCTCTCCCTGGTGTGGAGTTTTCTCCGACGCCGAGCTCAAACAGTATGAGTACTCGCAGGATCTCCGATACTACTATGGGATGGGACCCGGTACTGATCTTCCTTCGAAGATGATGTTACCGTATCTCAATGCCTTGGTCGGAATGCTGGCCCAGGGACCAGGAATCAACGGGACCTTTGCTAATGGAACCAGCTTCACTCTGCCAAAGATCCTCACGTCATTCATGAACGATGGTCAGATCACGGAATTGGGCGCTGCAACTGGAATTTGGGACAACACTACCGTCCTCAGCGGGACCGAGATTCCAGAAGGTTATGATTATATTTCCAGCCACTTCGTCAGCATGCGCGGCACAGTGGCATTCGAGCGTCTCAACTGTGTTGTTTCCCCTGCCGTCAAGGCCAGAGACCATGTCATCAAAGCCAGAGGGGAAGTCAAAATTGATGACGAGACGGTCACCATCACCATCTGCCCGACCCAGACTGGTCCTTTCGCCACTTACACCAAGCCTGCGAAGTCCTCATCAACCTCCATCATCACGGAGACTCAGGTATACACCATCACCTCCTGCGCGCCTGAAATCACCAACTGCCCAGTTGGCAAGAAGACCTCCACGGTCGTTACCTCAAAGACCGTCATCCCTGTGGAAGAGACGTCGGCCTCGACAGCATGGCAATCATGGACAACGTCCACGACACTTGTCACTGCATCTTATACGGTTACCTCTTGTGCACCAACGGTAACTGGCTGCTCAGTTGGAGAGCTGACTTCCACCATATATGAGACGGTTACTTGGTGCCCTGTTACTGCCACTGAGACCGGCCTGGCTGCAACGAGCACTGGCGCGGGAGCTATTGGCAATGGATCTGGCTCGGGATCATCAGGCACCGCCACACTCTCAGCAACCAGCTCTTACAACAGAGCTTGCACAAACAAGTCCAAGCCCAAGCTATCCACAGCCCTCTCAGCAACGGGATACAGCTCCCCAACCACATTTGCAACAGGGATCTACAACACAACCTCCCTCCTCTCATCTTCTACCTCCGTACCTTATACACACGCCACCTCAATCCTTGCCCACAGCAGCAGCACCTCAACTTCCTCCCTTCCAAACCCCACGCCCACCTCAGGTTCCACAAACCAAACCTACATCCGCATCCTGATCAACGACGCTGTCTACGTGGTTCCCTCATGCCAAGACGGCCCTGGTCGTTCCTGCTTGATGAGCGAGTACGTAGCGCTTGTTGAAAGCAAGGTCGCAGCGGCAGGTGATCTGAGAACGAGATGTAATGTTACCAATACAGCGAGCCCGACGGTGTTGAAGGGCGCGAGCTTCTTTACCAATTTGGCGGATAGTTGGTTGGCCCAGGTTGCTCCATAATAGGTGTAATGGGTGATGGGAAAGAAGGGAGAAGAGGGTGGCATATAAAGGGTTCAGGATAGTTTTTAATAGTGTATATAATATGCTTCAACTCTGCAGTACCCTACAATCATGACAATGTTTCATACATCTTTAGTTAATTCAGTTCCCCATTACACTTCTCTCTGCTCATCTGCTGTACCTTGCACTCATTCACAACCCCTTATCGAAGCAACATCCACTCCATTCTACTCCGATCCCGGGTCACCACCACTCAACTTTACACCAATGAACTACAGGTATGCTAGCGACAGTGATAAATTGTGAGGTTGGCCCTATTTTATTGTCTATCTCCTGGTGGGAGGAAACTGTATCTAGTGTAGCTATCCCTTCACTGTCCCTCTTTCCCTGTTCAAATATTCCAGCATTATATGTCCTTTTGAAAGGCAAACAAAGTTGTCTTGTGCATTCAAACTGTTATACGATGGGGAAGTGTACACGTTTGTTACTGTGTTAGATGTGCATGCCTCCCTAGTCCTTCTTGTGTGTTCCTTGTGAGAGAAAACAGCATTGCTTCTTGAGGAAGCACGCCGGATACTTATGTTTAGGCAGTGGACTTGGTTGGTGAGGTCGAACTGGCTGAGGCATCCGGCTGGGCCATAAACCCAAGCTTCTGATACCCTGGCGAGTGTTGAGGGGCCAATCCCAACTGGTGTTATTCGTTTCATTTCAGCACCGCTGAAGATGGAGAATAGGGGCTCAGTTATTGTTTCCCAAGCAGCGTCGGCTTCTGGGCTTGGTAGGAGCCGGAAAGGATTTGGTGAGAAGTCTTCATCGAGAAAGATTCCTTTAATTCAAGTTTCGCAGGTTGAGATGGAGAACTTATCAAACACAGGTGCTGGTGACCGTTAGTGAGATGTGAAGGGTGGATGAGGGACACTAACATAAAGCAGAGGTCTTCCTAAGAACCGATGCTTCCTTGGTGAGAAGCCCTCGATATCGTGGTAGTAAGAGCAAGAGCGCACAGGAGAGAGTGACGTTGGAGATGATGGAGACAACCAAGGCAGATAGCCAGTTTCTTTGCGCTTTCGGTGGGATTTTATCGACTTCATCAGAATTGTTAACCTCGAGGTAAGGCTGCTGCCGACCTGACCATGAGCGATGCAGTTATTGAAAAGCCACTAACACGAGGTTTGGAGTCGTGATAGAGTAAGGAAGAATCAACCAAATTCTGTAGATCAACGGAATTGTAAGAACTATCCAAGACAGGCAAGAGAGAGAAATGCGCACAGCAGCGGACCGAATTTTATTCCCAAGATAGAGATCGACTAGAGAACGAGCGCATAAGTCATGTTTGCCGTGACCGGAGATCCGATTATTAGAACCGAGGTCAACTCAGTGGCCCAAGGAGTAATCGAGGATAAAAGTGCAAGCCTAAACAAGAAGGAGAGAAACTTATGCCTCCTAGGCACATCATAACCAAAGCTCAAAACATGCGCCAGAAGACTTCAACTTGTTAGCAAAGTGACATCGTACTTACGATCAGCCGAATGAAGTTTTCGCATTGGTAGGTGGCATATACCAACTTCCCAATTAGTGTTGAGTGATAAAGGTCGCTATCAGACAGTGAACGAGGTTGGTAAGAAGAGTACTTAATGCTCCTTCTGCCATGGAAACCCCACAGTTATTCCATTGTTCCAGATAACGTCCACAAAAACACTGAACACCGTTCAACACGGTTCTCAACAATGCGGTTCTCAAAGATCGTGCCTTTCGTTGCCCTTTTCACTTTCAGCTTCGCAGCCCCTGCCACCGGTTCGTAATAAGCAAATCGCTATGGTTATGGAAATCTGACTGACGTACACTTAAGATACCGCTGTTCGAAACACAGAGCCAAAGCCAGAGCCAGAGCCAGAGCCAGAGCCAGAGCCAGAGCCAGAGCCAGAGCCAGAGCCAGAGCCAGAGCCAGAGCCAGCTCTGCTTTACTGCGACGGGACGGACAAGAAGCGGGATGTAGCTTGCGGGCCGATAAAATGTCGGTTCCAAAGTCTCCAAATCGTGAAAACCATACTGACATAAGTCAATAAACTCGAGCAGTACTTTACTGCTATCTTGATAACAAAAGCGCGCGGAGCCTTGCGGGCCTTCAGCTCCTGCTTCTCGTTGGTACCCCGCCCTTCATGGCCAGAACATCCAGACTGATGCAGATCAAAAAGTCCTTGCTCGAGCAGTGGTTTACTGCCCCATTGCTAACAAGAAGCGCATGGGGCCGTGCGGACCGTAGATGGTTATAGGGCCAGCTACTGTAGGTCCAGCGTCGCCTTTCTGCGGCAGCTGCCCGGCTGGGAAGTTCACGGTGCGGAGAAGCTTGAGCGGTATTCGTATTGCAGGAACAAAACACAACGAAGGAGTTTGGAGCAGGGATGCTGGTGGGTTTTCCTTTTCAAATGAAGCCCTCTCCGGATGTAACCTGCTCTCTTGTAACATGCCCTTAAGGCAGATGAGCCTAGTGTGATGACACGGACTGTGCTGAATAGAATGACTTTTTCTTGAAGCTATTTAAAGTTTGATCAAATCAGAGTCATTGCTGTTTTGTCTCTCCTCGGATTAGTTGTGACTTTGTCGGATTCTGTGGATGTAGCGTCGACGCTGACGGATGAGAGTGAAGCATGAACTTGAAACTCACGATCGGCTTGGAAAGCTAGGGGTGTGATCTTTAATTTGCTGCGGGGTTTTAGACAGCTTTTTGCTGAATGTGAGTGGTTGAAGCAGAATTCGGAGACAGTTTAGTAAAGTCGGCATTTCTGTTTTTAAACCGCCGACGAAAAATAATCTCGAGTCTTCTCGAATCGACCAGAAGTGATATGAATAAGGACTTCACCAAAGCCAACGACGCTTGTTGTCTCGACTTCTTTAAAGAGAACTGCTTCGTTTTCTCTATGGTCTAAACCTGGAAACCTCAGCTTCCTGAATTTCTTTCCAACAATCTCAATCCGCGCAAAATAACCCCGCCTCAAGCTTGAGGTTTCAATTACCCCTCCAACACAAGGCCTCATCTTCCCTCCCACAATGGATCCAGGCATGAACGAGCTCCTAAAATGGAGTGTCGAAAACTCTTCCACAACAGTCAACGACCCCTCCACGGCTCCTCCCACAAACCGCCACCTCAACCCCGACGCCCTCAACGCGCTCTTCGGCGGCCCTTCAGACGCAGACCTAATGATCGCCTCCATGGCCGCCATAAAATCCTCGGACCCAGAAATAAGCCTCGAAGACAAGCTCGTCGCATTCGACAACTTCGAGCAGCTCATCGAGAACTTGGACAATGCAAATAATCTGCAGCCATTGGCGTTGTGGACGCCCTTATTGGAGTGCTTGGCACACGAGGAAGCGGAGATCAGGATGATGGCTGCATGGTGTGTGGGCACAGCGGTGCAGAATAATGAGAAGAGTCAGGAGAGGCTGTTAGCTATGAATGGGATTCCGCCGTTGGTGAAGCTGGCTACTGGGGAGAAGGAGGGGCAGAAGGTTAGGAGGAAGGCGGTTTATGCGTTGAGCTCGGCGGCGAGGAATTATCAGCCTTCGATGGATGTCTTGATGGAGGAGTTGGGGAAGTTGGGAAGGAGTGCGGAGAAGATTGATGCGAGTGATATGGATGCTGTTGATGTGCTGATTGGGGGGTTGAGAGACGAGGCTTCGAAGGCAGCCTAGAGTGGGTGGGGACTCTGCATTCCAATGGAGTTAGGGAGTTTGGTATGGAGGATAGATGGTATGAGGGCAGAAAGCCGCAGGCTGTGGTTCAAGTCTCGAATCACTTGCAGATACCCGATGTAGAAATGAAATGATCCGAAGCCCAGAGATGTATTTCAGCATGCAGTTGCTATACCTTCGACTCTCGACGGGATATGACTTCAATGCAACACTGGTGGAGCAGCTTGACTTTGTACATAAATGTGTTACACTTACTTTACAAATGATGTACAAATCTACCACAATCTCCCCAACTCCAACCCACGATCTTTTAGTCTACCAGTTTCCCATAAAATGGAACGCCTAGAGCGCTGAGAAGCATTCGTGCGTGTCTATCCGAAGTGGCAGTGGTCTTCACCGTCACGTGAAACCCAGGAATCAACTTTGGTGGGTACATCTGAACGTCTGTAAGCAATGTGAGCACTCACACGTCCTTGGCATCACTTACGTCGTAGTTGATCTCTACTTCTGGAAACAGAATAGCTCCCTCCCTGCTAAAACCCCAGCTGATGTTTCCACTGCTGTCACCAGTCGTTCCTTGCTGCATTAGCATTTTGTCAATCTCACGAGGAAGCCATTGCTTACCCTCGATACCTGGCCAATCTTTGATCCTTGGGAACACCAGGTTTATACATTTATCCACAAAATTATACGCCTGTTCACCTCGCATATTGCAGGTGAGAGAGACTGGCAACCCTTTCCGAAGTCCCCATCTTCCTTCGGTGTGCTTCGCCTTGTGGATTGTCGGCCGTACGCCAGTGACCGATTGTAACAGCATGCCCGCAACGTGGAGATGTGCCGAGTCATCTAGTGCACCTTTGATAAAGCTGTGCACTGTGACCTCCTCGATTTTGGGGATGTTTCGCCAATTGATATCTTGCTCAATTAACCGCAGCGTGTCTCCTGGTCCTCGAGGCCCACGCTTCGGTCTGCCTTTATGATATGGGGAGCTGTCATCCCAAGTTCGTAAACGGTCTGCTTTGGGTACTGTCACAGTCCCAGGGGGCTTGTGGACATAGGTCAAGGTCATCAGATCCGGAGCAATCGTGGATTGGTAGGTTTGTTCGAGTCGAGTATAGGAGAATGGACCCGGAACGAATTCTCTTGATGAAGGATCGGATTTGGGAGGAGGTTGGTGAGGATGGAGAGGTCCTCGATAGTATCTCGGAGACCGGTATTGATATCTAGAGGACATTAGCTATTATTTCGGTGTTGGGCTCCTTCCACCACATACCTACTGGGAGGAAGCTCCCTCCTTCGTCCCTGGGTCCTCTTTATTGGATCATAGGCCTTGGTCTCGTCGTCTGGGGAGAATGCCGTAAACATAGATGTATTGGATTCAAGATCTTGAAAATCTTCCGACACCTCCTGTGGAGCAGCTGCTACTGCTTCAGCGGAGGTATATCTGCGCCAGGATCTTCCTGCTACTGCCGCGGTTGGTCGTGTATCTCGTAATGCCAGCCGTCTGAGAGAAGACGGCAGTTCTCGTAAGGCCATTGTGAGTTGTGGGAGAGGGTGTTGATCGATCGAAACTCTTCTATAATTTCGTGCAGGCATCATGTCGTGAGGCAGAAATAAAAGCGGGTCCATACATATCTGATTGGTCGTCGACTTCGCTGTTCGGGCCAGCGATCTGGGGCGGCCGAGATGTGGGCGAGGGGCTTCGCACAGTTCGATGTCATGTCTTGACACCACCGAACTCCATAATCCGCAGGAAGAACAACTGTCGCTTTCGCCGGCCTTCCGGGACATCTGCCTCATCCTCCAAATATCTCCCAACACCGTGCCACAAGACAATGGGCGTCGTCAGTCATTCTAGGCAACGTTGAAAGCACTCTGGAGCTTCAACGACCCCACCAAAGCTCCCGCTGTGAACGATGCCAACCCAAACAACGAATGTACAAGAGGCGTCAGTTCCTGCTTCGCAACCATCTATCGGCGAGATATTTTCGAAGCGTGCGGCGAACATGAATCGGCTCCTCTCTCGTCGAGAAAAGGATGGAGGAGCTCACAGACGGACCAAGTCAAGAGACAAGTCGGCGGATAAGAAGGTAAAGTGCTAAGAAGATTTCTTCTCCGGCCCTCACTCATAATGGCCAAGCCTCTCCATTCTTCTCAATATGTTGCCTCTCTTTGTGCAGCATTTCCGGAATCGAACGGCAAAAGCTCGCCGCTTCTTCAGCTTACCCAACGTCTTATTCATGCCACAACTGCTAATTCTCGGCCTGGTTTCGTTCTACAGACCCGGCCGCTCTCTAGCGATGGCATTATGGGACTCTTTAGGAGTGATGCCCATAAAAAAAATGAAAAGGACCAAGAGAATGCCAACATCGTATACCTCCCTCACGACTTTTCCACGTGTGTAAGGCTGAGATGATTCTAGATCCATTCACTCAAACAACGGCTACATCGACGTGGCTATTCCGGCGTTGACGATGAGCAAATAAACTATGCCCTAGGCTCTGGCTTTGCAGAGGGAGACGTTGACAAGGCATTCGAGCTTTTGGTCCTATTTCAGGAATCGGTGGAAGGCATCATCAAACGCTACGATGCTTCTGTGCCGATGCTTGGTGCTGTCAACCGAGGCAACGTTACTTGCTATCTGGACGCACTACTATTTGCAATGTTTGCCCGGATGGACAACTTCGAACCAATTCTGTGCACAACTCTAGAGGATGAGCCGAAGCGCCGCTTGTCAACTTTGATACGTCTTTGGGTGAACATGCTGCGGACGGGGAAGCTCATCCCGATAGATATCGTAGGATCCAAGCATGTTTATACCCTTCACTTGCTGACTAGAAACACAGACCCAGCATTTGCAAGAAGCCCTTGCTGCGTGTGGTTGGCAGGAAGCCGCCAAACTTAAGCAACAGGATACCTCAGAAGCGTACAACTTCATCACCGAGGCCCTAAAATTACCACTTCTCACGTTGAGAATGGATCTATACCACACCGGCACCGAGGATGATCCAGATGATCACAAGTATATACACGAGCGTCTGCTCGAAGTTGCAGTACCTGATCCACCTTCAGATGGCGGTTCCGTCTCCCTTGAGGATTGCCTCGAGAGTTTCTTCAACAATCAAGTTGATGTGCGCCGTTACATGGATGTTCTCGAGCGTTCTAATACCATGTCATCCGTACGCTCTGACCGTTCGCCCCTGTCAGAGAAAGAATCAGAGCTAGGAGAACTTTCTCAGTCTTTGCCCAACACCCCACTTTCACCTCTCGCTCCGTCGTCGCCATTGTCTCCGGGGAACCGGCACCGCTCTCCTAGCATTATTAGAAATATTGTTGTGGAAACTACTGAGGTGGATGCGAGGTCAGACTCCACTGATAATCACAGCAGACGCGGTTCAATTCGAAAGGGAAAGACGACAAGACGAGAGGTGTCCATGAAAGCCTGGCAGTTTTTCAATCTAATACGTCCGTTACCTATTTATTCCAATCTTCAGCCACATACTCTTCCCCCTGATTGTCCTAGAATACTAATTGGGAACATAGCGTGGGTGATAGGGCAAAGCTTGCACTCGTCCGATGGACGCATCCCGGAAAACCTTAGCTTGTCTCCCGCTGTGACTATATGTCTAAAGAGATACGGAATGTCGATGGATGGAAAGCCTATTCGCAAAAACACACGCGTTGACATCCCACTGGATATTCGTTTACCACACTTCATCGAAGACGACAGGATTCCGGAGGAAGGCCCCATGATTAGGAGGTTCAAACTCTCTCTTCAGTCTGGGTTGTGCCATCGTGGAGAATCACTCAATGCTGGGCACTATATAGCGTTTGTTCGTGAAGCTACTGCAATACCGGACGGCGACTATCAATCTTCTCGAAGACAGAGTGATAGCACTGCCCCGCCTCGGTACTCGGAGGAGAAATGGCTGTGCTTCGATGATCTGGGCAACACCAGGGTGAAGAAAGTGGAAATAGAGGAACTGTTGAAGAAGGAGATGCCATACCTTCTCTTTTATCGAGTCGAACCAATTTACGAGATGACTCCAGCGTCTATTTCGGATCCTCGACTGCCTTCTTACGATGATTCGTTTGTCGAGATTCAAAGCCACAATCAGGATCATCATATAGAGGGTACAGATAGCACTGTCGACCAACAAAGTTACTTTGACAGTGCGAGAGACGCAACTACACCAGCAATTCGATTATCAGCTGATGTTGAACGCCTTCCAACCCCCAGACAGAGCCTAAACCTCCCGGAAGACCGTCGGGGCAGCTTAGCATTCACAGAGCCTGGTTTGACAAGCTCAAGGAGCAGCATTCATGGTGCTACGATCATTCTAGCGACTTCAGCACCAGCGACTCCCAGTGAGGAGACTGCCGCCCAAAGGATGTCTCGAGCCGCTTCCAAAGTCCTCAAATCTACGACGAAGAGTCGGCCAACTAGCCAGTCTGGTGAAGGTCGAATGAGTGGCGCTTTCTCGCGACTGAATCTGATGCGGAGCAAGGACTCGTTGAACAAGCCATCCGAAAACGCGAGAGATCGTCCACCTGTCACTGACGGCATCACTGAACCTCGTACCTCCATCGCTATCGACGAAGGATCCCTGCGGCCACACGAAGATGGAGTTGATCGGTCGAAGAGTAAGAAGGAGAAAAAGAAACGGGATAAGAGTCAGGGCCCGAGCGAGAAGATAGAGCATCCTGAACATCATCATCATTTGCATAAAGGGAAAGGGAAGGCGAAAGATGTTCCAGATCGGGAGTGTGATGTCATGTAGATCGGCGTTTTTGGGATTTTTGTATTAATATGGGACGGCAGGAATTGGCATTGATAAGGGCACCACCTGGCGTAGCATGTTAGAAATGGGTCATTGGCGGCGTTTGACAAGAGGACTTGCAGATCATGTTTCTGGGTATCGCTGAATAGCAGGCTTAGGACGGGCCCGAATGCGTGTGGACTGCATTGGGTCAACGAGACCTGTATGGGTATAGTTGGAATTACAACAAAACATATGCCGGTGAATAATCTCGTTGGTTCAATTCTTCCTTATGCCTTAGACCCCAGTAAACTCCACCTCGGAAGCTCGAGCCTGTACAGCCGCTGAAGGCCTGGAAGGAGCAGTTTTCATACGGCAAATACGCGCAACAGTTAGTCTTTACCTATGTTTCCAAAGTTTATGCTTTAAGCCCCGACCCCTGTGTTACAGTTGAGTATTAGCAGTAACATGATGATCGATACTAGGATGTGGGAGGTAATAGCGAGATACTGTACGATACTGTGCGCTTTTGCTGCCCTCGTCTGATACATGTCTGCTGCTACAGTATAAGGAGATCTAAGCCATAATTAATATTCTACCCACACTTGCTGTATCTACCTGCCTCACGCCTATGGCTGCAATATTCTCCCCTTTTGAAAAGGAAAAATGCTCTCTAATTATCCATCTTCAATGAGTATTGTCCCACATCTCCCTAAACCAAGCCTTGTCCCCTCACTCCTCCTCCTCCTCTTAGTGAGGAGGAGGACCCCCGTCTACATCTTGTTCTCCGTCTTTTTAGCCAACAACTCATCAGGCATTCCAACCTCGACCACCTTCCCTTACCCATGACAAGAATAGTATCAGCGTCTCGGTTGGTATCCAATCGATGAGCTACCGTCAAGATAGTATACTTGGCGGACTCTTCCCTGATGATGCGCTGTATGAGCTCGTCCGTCTTTGCATCCACGCTGCTCGTCGCTTCATCCAGGATTAAGATCCTAGGTCGGTCATTCAGGAGCGAAGCACGGGCGAGGCCGAAGAGTTGGGATTGGCCATGCGAGAGGGGGGAGCCTTTAAGTGGAGCTTCAAGGGGATCGACTTCTTATTTCTTTGGCATGGAGTCACTATTTGCGGTCTCCTCGCGAGTCGGCGTTGCTGTCCTAGAGGGCGTTGCGTTGCAGTATTGGAGCCGCTTGCGCTGTTACCACCGGTGCCGCGAGATTTGATCACATTCCATAGCTGGACATTTCCCAGCACCGCAATGATTTCGCCGTCTGAGACAGTGCCTGAGGGGTCAACGTTGAGCCATATACTTACTGTTCTTCAGAACGAATGTGTCTTGTGGGATCGCAATTAGGCATGCTCGGATCTTCTCACGTGGTAGAGTAGACAGATCGAGGCCGTCGATTGTCATAGAACCTGATTCTAGCTCAATTAGGTGTAGTATTGAGAGCAGAAGAGTGGACTTTCGCTGCCCATTGAGTTTCAGTATTTTGCGAAGTTGAATTTCGGGAGAGCCGGCTTAAGGTTAGCTTCCAGTCCGACCACAAATTCCTACTTTCTGGCCGGGTGAGATCTTCGCAGAGATGCCTTTCGGGCAATCGTCTCAGGGCTGCAAGAAGTTAGTTTTGTCGGATGAGAAGAAGCAAAAGACTGCGTACTTGTATGCAGCAACAATCTCCTTGAACCCAATGGCACCTTGGTCAGGCCACTCCGGGGACGGTTCGGAATCCTCGCTTTCCTTATCTTGCGGGAGAAGAGTCTCCTCGAGGGTCCTGATTCGAGAAACTGCCCCAAGTGAAGGTTCAAGTTGCGTCCATGATTGCAGCAGTTGCACAAGAGTAGTAGAGATTGTAAGAATGAGGTTTAGAGCAATGCCGATCTGTTCCCCAGTCGTGGAGGCTTTTTGAGTGTTGGTGGTTACTTGATATCAACTCAAGTATCTCTTGCACACCTGCCGAATCGAGTCACTACACCCTACCATTGACTGATTCTATCCTCAAAAGGCCCTCCTCCAGCGATCGTGAATCCCATGGAGGCTTCAGATCATCGCCTTATTCAGAGGAACATTCGTCAAGCTCTGGCTCGTCACTTGCATGCCATTTTCATCTCCTGCTGCAGAGGTGCCTTCTCTAACCCACACGCGATGTTGTGCTGGGAAAGTAGCTATCGAAGTGGAAGTGGACGCCACAATCGTCCTTTATATCTCGGCGGTGTATTCCATACTCCACTAAACTTCAGGCTTGCATTTTACTTCAGACCCAAATCTCGAAGGTAGTGACCAAGGAGCACGATACCGTAGTTGGCAGTGTTCCAGTATAACGAAACTCGCTATTGAATCTTTGTGATCTCGAGTTCTGATGTACCACATAAGCTGAAACACTGCAATCGAATGTTCGAGAGGGTCTAAGATACTTGACATATCATTGAGGCGCCTCTGATCTTCAGCTTGTTCTACAAAAGACAGGAATTCTGAAGACACGCATCATGCTGATCACTTCATTTCAACCTAACTGTCCGATCACTCCATTTTTTGCATCTTCAACCTTTTCCCACATTTCGATCACCCTAGGCCTAACCACGCACCGAAGCGAAGATATTCCCAAAATTGGGTCAGGATTCATTCTCTCAGCTCTCTACCATTTCCCTGATCACCTGCTCCTTCCCGAAAACCTTTGTGCCTCCCCACCTCAGTTTGCCTTTCCACCTTCTCATTCTTACCTTAGTATTCAGACCTTCCAGCAGTTCCTTTAATTCATCAATTATTATTATTCTCTTTGCAGTCCCTAGGCTCTTAGACGTGACTCCACCCTCATCAATATCTTCGCAAAGATGCTTCAGCAAATGTGAGGTCGAATCGATATCTTCGAGTAATACGGATATGTGTTTAGGTGCGTATTTAATTTGCTGATAAAACGACTGGATGCTGGAATAGATTTGACTCAAGAGCTCTGCTCCCACAACTGTCAAAGGCTCGACCATTCTCAGAAAAGGGGTATATCGTAAAGAGTGGAGAAGCTTGAAGAAGTGACCGCTCAATCTGGGAAAGTTCAAATGACTTTAGACATTGGAGGAAGGAGCATCGATGAGGCAGTCCATGGCTTGCCTCGAGAAGCAGCCTTGAAGGGCACACAAGATAGTGTTTGCTTGAATTCTCGCCGTAAAGCATGCTATCTACCAGCCCAAGGCCGGGATCGAGACCAATGATCGGCCAATGTTTTGGTGGGCCATCCGCTCATGTCGAGTAAATTGCAAGTCGAACGATACCGGCTGGAGAGCAAACACCAGACATAATGAAACTCGAAAGCAGTATGGATGCCAAAATTTGACTCGCTGACCATTCAGACAACAGGGTAGACACCAACAATAAAGCAGCGCATAGTGGTAAGAAGAGGCATTGCTAAGCCGAGAAGGAACTGCCTTGAGCCCGAGCGCACCAAACTTGGTCTCAGCTGCCAACCATGAAATTCACAACGGATAAAGTAACACCTCAACGAGGAAGGTTTCGTTGACTTATTTCATTTGTGCAGAGGTATCTAATCTACAGCAAGGAAAGTTCATTCGTAAAAGCAATTCGTATTTTATGCCCATTCCTGGATGTGATGCAATCCCTTTGAAGACTCCCCATTTCCACTTCTATTCCGTTATGCATCCGTCCGTTTAGGCATCGTGTATTCGTGTTGGCATTCGTAAAGTTCGTAAAATAAAACGAAAAATTGACTCATACAACGTAGGGTCTTTTCAGGGAGACGATGGGCGGGGGAAGCGCAGCGCGAGGCTTTGCAATTTCCAATAAAATGAATCGAAATGAGATAATGACAACGTCGTAGCAGTATGTCGAAAGTATCAGCAAGTGACGTCCTTCGCAAACCGCGATGACCGATTGGCCATTTCGACAATTGTTGGTGCATCAATCTCTGGAGAGAGGGTTCTGTGGCTTCTCGCCCGGTGGTATCAAGAGGGAGGGGGGGACGACCTTAGACATCGGCGTGGCTGGCTCAGCTGGAGTACCAAGTCCTGACAAGGGGCTGATGAATCCGCTTGGTGGAACGGGAATGCGGATATCTTCAGGGGAGCCGGGGATCATGTCGATGTGGACGTTTGGGATCTTGATGCGCTTTGCCTCGTTCTGGTATGAAGCTGGGATGATCTGGCAACATGTTAGGGTCGGATGGTCAAATTTTAGATCTCTGGGTTAGATTATCAACTCACTTCGATAATCTCGTTGCGTGGGAACTTCAACTTGGGAATATTCATAGCATCGCAAGCCATGAGGTAGCCATAGAGAACTCGAAGGACGGACTCATGAGCGATGATAAGGAGGTCATTGTGCTCCCGTTCCAGTTCAAGGATAATAGGCTCAAGACGAACAGCAAGGTCGTGGTATGACTAGAAGACCATCAGTAAGAGCCGGTTCTTTGAAGGCTTTTGGAAATGCTTACCTCAGCACGTGGGTAGCGGTGGTGATATGGGTCCAACTCATGCCTTTCAACCTCATCAGGGTAGAGCCGACGCATTGCAGTTTCAGACAGCTTCTCGCAGACACCTGGATTAAGTTGGCTCATCTGCGATCGTTGACGAACTCTGTAACCGATATCCTTGAGGTAATCAGCGGTCTCGACAGTGCGCTTTCTGGTTGAGGTCCAGACGGTGAGCGGCTTGAGGGGTGCAGGGGAATCACCAGCAGCAATAATTGCGGCTCTCTCTGCCTCACGGTGGGCAAGCAAAGTATCAGCCATCTTCTTTGCGTAAGCTCTACCTTCGTCACCAAGGGGTGCATCTGCCTTGAACGAGTCCTCTTGGCTGGATGTTCCAGCTCGGGCAAAGAAGGTTACGCGGGACTTGATGTGGAGGTTCATGAGATAGAACACGATACGAGTCGACAGATATCCAAACGATACGTTGTTGTAGTCGAGTCTCTCGCCAGCGTTGATCATCTTGACGTAGTTGAGGTCGGGCTCGTTCATAGTCTCAAAGTGTGGGATCTTCATGTCAATTCTCTTAAGGTAAAGCTTGGCAGCCTCATCTGGATCCATTCCGACGAACTGCGACCAGTTAGTCGTGTCCCGCGGGATTTCATTTGTGCTCCTTACGTCTGGCGACGAGATCTTAACACTACGTGCATTCTCCTCGAGGATGTTTTGGTCGGTGACGTAGGATTCCAGGAAGAGAGTCTGGAGTGTCGTCAGCAATAGCAAGATCACGAGATCGAGAAGACCATAACATACCTGAACATCGTGCTTCTGAAATTCCTTTGCAAGCGATCTTCGGCCACTAGCAAGAGGATTGACGGCGTCATAAATAGCAACCTGACCATTCTCATGATTGAGCCATGCATAGATATCTTCCCTACACTTCTTTAGAATCTTTTGACGGAGCATCACGGAGGTTGCTGATGCATTAATAAAGAAATAATCCTCTGGTACTTCCATATCAGGTCCCATGGTTGCTCGACGGTAGTCACCCAAGTGGAAGACCCTAGTCTTTACACCGAGCCTGAGAATGTTAGTCTGGCGATTTAGGGATTTGGGAGGGAATCATGTACCATTGGAGATATCGAGACAAGGAGACGGATATGTGTCTGAAAGATCGGATTAGCACTTCCTGCAATGCCACGCTTGACGCTTTGACTTACGTCTTTCCCCGAGCTGGCAGGCCGACAAGGACGATGGCGATTCTTCCGGAGTGGAAGAGTCTGCCCGACATCGTACTATAAAGCTGTGCTGGAGCCATTGGAGAGGCCTTCTCGTCGGGGACATCGTGAACTCCATCGATGAACGTAGAAGATCTCCTACGGTAACGTGGCGAGTTCGCAGCGATCTCAGCAGTACTGGACTCAAGCAGGTCAGCATCACGCCTCTCGTACTCCGCCCACTCCTCGTCGAGACTCTCGTGCAACTCGGGCCTCGGTCTGATGGGAGCCACTTGAAGCGTCGCCATGGCTTGGATGTTCGAGGTAGTACTCAATTTGCAAATACAAAATGGTGACCAAGAACGAAAGTACTAGCAGGGCGACGACGATAACCATCCACGTAGGATAGACCATTCTCTAAGACGTTTCTCGCTGAAATTTGCAATCTTGAAGGATTGTGGTGTATGAGGAAAGAAGGATTGTGGTGTAGGAGGAAAAAAGGATCGGGTGATGAAAGAGAGCTCACAGTAGAGTATCCATAGCGAACAAATTTTGTATGGTGACCTATCAACACACCCAAGCGGCAGAAACGGCACTAGTCCAATCGAGAATGACCCGCTATAATCTCTTTCGCTCAGAAATGACTTTATACTCTTTCAAAAGTGCAATGGAAACCGCCGCTGTGAAAGTTAAGAGCAATCCAGTGCCGAGGCAGAACACAAAGCAGGGGTAGAGCAGGCCCTGGGATCTGCTCTTCTTCTTTAATTGCGATTGAGGAAGACTCTTTGGTGTTTGGTAAGCTCCCTGACAGAGTCCAAAGCCAGAACACTTCTTCGTCGTGAGATTGGAGTCTGATATCTTGTGATGTCTTAGGGAGAAGTTCTTTTGATAGCAAGGGTCTAGTTAACTGGTTTCGCCAAAGCAGCCAATCGGCGGTTGAATGTACAGCTCCGGCGTGGTTTCCGCCTGGCGCAGATTACTTCCTGCCTGACAAACAGCTCCTGTTGGAAAAAAGTTCACAAGACCACGGCGTATCAAGTTCAGGTGCATCTGCGTGTCTCCTTTCAACCACCCACGACTCCTTTCACCTGGTCTTGCATCAACATCTTCCTTCTCAGACATCTCCATTCCTTCAATTCGTCCCAGGTACAAGGAGTCTCGCCATAAACATGTCGTCACTAGAGCTGGAGAAGGATTTGCCATTGGGGTTCCTCTTCAACAACTCGGTCGTTGCAGCGCTGGCGGATACATACACATCCTTCTCAGAGCGGAGGGCAGCTTTGGGACTGTCAAACCCAGGGACAGTCGAGAACATTGCGCGGGAGGTCCAGCGTGATGTATTTCTGAACAACTACACCTTCCAGGGCCTGCGGGCGGACCTCACCAAGGCATTCAGCATCTCCCCGTTATTCCAAGTTTCTCATGCATTTGCCATGGGTTCACAAGGGCTTCCGCCTTATACCTTTGCTGCACTGTTTGGCACAAACAAGGTTAGTTGCAACTATGCCAAGCTCCCTCCCGGCCAGCCTGCAAGGCCTTCAATGCGCGCATCTTCTAACTTGCTTTGCCCAGATCTTCATGCAAGGAAACATCGACAACGAAGGACAGCTCTCCACCAGATTCAACTACAGATGGTCTCCATCTCTTGTCACGAAGACCCAGATTCAGATCGCACCTGGTCCTAACCAAGCAATGGTACAATTTGACAACGAATACACTGGAAATGATTTCACAGCCTCATTGAAGACTCTCAACCCTTCTTTGATCGATGGTGGTCTTACTGGTATCTTCATTGGCAGCTACCTACAATCCGTTACTCCAGGTTTGGCACTGGGTCTGGAAGCTATCTGGCAACGCGCGGCCTTGAACCAAGGTCCGGAGACGGCTATTTCGTACTGTGCAAAATATAAGGGGAGTGACTGGATTGCTAGTGCTCAATTGGCTGCAGGAGGAGCAATCAGCACGTCATACTGGCGGAGATTGACAGATAAGGTGGAAGCTGGAGTTGACCTGAACTTGCAATTTGCTGGCCTATCAGGATCTGGCGGGTTGATGGGAGGGCCTGTGAGGAAGGAGGGTGTTACGACTGTTGGTGCCAAGTACGATTTCCGAATGTCTACTTTTAGAGCACAGGTGGATTCGACGGGTAAATTAAGCTGCTTGCTTGAGAAGAGAGTGGCTCCTCCAGTTCAGTTGACTTTTGCTGCTGATATGGACCACTTCAAGGTTCGTGGCTTTTATCCCAAAATTGAAGTCATGCTAATATCACCCCAGCAACAAGCAAAGATCGGACTCGCTGTCTCCATTGAAGCAGGCAGTGAAGAGCTCCAAGAACAACAAGAGTTGGCAGGCGGCGCAGCTCCTGCGCAGATCCCCTTCTAATCGACTCGACACCAAAAACCCACCCCTCCGCTCTACGTAATCGATATTTAATGCCATGACCTGAGTGCCAGTGCCGGGCTGCTCTCTAACATATCGAATGTCACAAAATCCTCTACTTCGACCCGCAACTGTCTTACTACAAACACGCTCGGATACACCATGCTACAGCCCCACTGGTGTACATGTGCGCTTTCGTCCACCTTTTCATTCAATCCTGGATGAGCCTATTCTGCATATTTGATGATGGTGGGAAGGTGTGACGATCATAGATTTTTCCTTTCTGTCTTGGAACGGTGTTGCGAGCATCTCTGGGTGGTAATCAAGTGTATTGGGCCCAGAGCAATGGTCTGTGGTATGAGAGGGGACGAATCTGTATTATAGTGGCTTTTGTGCGGGCAGGCAGGTTAGGCATGAAATGCTGCTGTAGATACCTGATGGTGTACAAAAGAAAGGATATGTTGCATGAATATTTGGTCTGCTTGTGCTTCTGCAATTATCTAGTGATTTGGTTGAAGCCTGAACGACTGCCCGGGCCTTCTCTCTTTCTAAGCTTCCCGCCTGCGTTTTCCTGTGCTCTGCACGAGGACGTCAACGTCAAATCAGGAAAACTGCTCCATCTTCGGAGTAATTTCTAATGCTTTGAAAGTGGAAGAGTCAATCATCCAGTCCGTCAATACTTTTTTAAATTACACTCGTAGTCAAATTTGTGCAACATAATCCTCCAACTATACCTCACGGCTTTAGCCTTGCCCCGAATGTTGAGGAGAGAAATTCTTGCTTGGTTTTTCGGGGAGGGGGGGGGTTTGCAGTTAGATTTCTTGTTGAGGAAGCAAGATAGGACTGGCTTTCCCGTTTTATGAGGAGTACTTCCATCTCGGGTGTTTATCATCTCAAATAAGAAGAATCTGATAACTTTTTCCTCGTCGTCAAGCTGCTGACGCTGGCATCATTAAATCCACTCCAATCAACTCACTACACTCCGTCGTCGGCCATGTCCAAGCCGTCGTTTAGGAGGTCCTTGGGGCTTCTTTTCGTTTACAGTCGAAGTCACTTCAGTCGGTCGTGCATCTCTCTGCATCACCCAACCAAGTGTACGTCACAGCCTTGCTCTGACGGTGTATGTCCATTTCTTCAAGTATGCCTCCTTATCCCCTTCATCGCCTCAAGACGATGCTGACTCTTAGTGGACCTCTCATCCCACGAATACGAAAACACCAATCTCATGCGCAAAACCGTGGACCTCCTTCATCGAGGGGGTGAAACCCAATTGCGAGCTATCCCTCCACTTTCTTTCTTATCTTCGGCCGCTTGACCACAACTCCGAAACTACTTTTCTTTTGGTGGTCTCCTCCCTATCCCCTTTCCATTAAGCGAGGTTGCTTTCACTTGTTGATTTGAATTCAGATCTACCAATTCGATTTTTTCAGGGCTAAGAGTTACAGAAAACTTGAATCGAGAGAATGGTATGAGTAGACTGCTGTTTCCTTCAATCACGCTCATCTTGCTCGACACAACAGTTCGGCGAGAGCAACACGGAACCAGGTTGAACGAACATAGGACGAAGATGTACGGAGCATAGCGAGACTCAAGCGCAAGATGTCAACACAACATTGCTCGAGCCGTAAATTGATATTCCGTTTGCGTGAAAGCATTATTCATATTTCTCACTTGCAAACTTTCGGTTATCCACTTTCGTAGATCATCTCCAGGCAAAGGTGCCGCGAGAGACCAGAGAGGAGAAGAGAGTAGAGACTGAAGGACGAGTATCAGTAGTCCCATCACCCCCTTCTATCGCCACTTGAGCGAGAAGAGCCTTTCAACGACCAAGCCAGGAATTTCGTCTTCGCTTGACGACCTCCGATCGAAAGGCCGTCCCCAGTCGAGGATCATTACTCGCCCTTCAACCCCCACCCTACCTACAGCTTAGCACTCTCGAAGGTCCCTCACTGGGACACACAACCCACAGCCCTCTTACTTCCCTGCCCACAAGACTCACCTGCCCTTAGTTCGTCCGCGACCCTCACCCCTCCCGCCCCGCCAACTGAAGACACAGGAAGGACCCTGACGGACCCTGCACCGTCCTCCCCCTTACCGACCGCATCTCCAACGCCGCGTTCCCATCCACGAGGCCTCCACCCCACACGTAGGAATCCCAAAGCGGCGTTCCCTCCCGCACAAGCGCCAGGTACGGACACGTAGCGTGTGCGCTGTGGCTCCCCCCCCATCGGCTTCCGGATGTGCTGGATGGGGGGTGGGAGGGTGTTGGAAAAAAAAAAGGGTTTGGAGACGAATTGAATGGGGAAGAGAGTGTGTGGGGAGAGGAAAGGGTCGTCACGTTTGGGATTAGATCGGGATTGGTGATTGCATGCGTGGGGGTCCATGGCTCTGGAAGATATATGGGACCCAGCGATTGAACTTTATCTGGGAGGTTTGGTTATTTGGCCGGATAATCTCCCTTTTTAATCTTTTTCCAGATATTTCATTGGCTACGAGTAAGAGCGGAGAATACATTCCGGCGGGGTAGAGGTTTTATAGAGCTTGTTTTTAGGCATGTTCGTTGTTGATGAACCATCTGCGCAGATGCGGGAGATTTGTATTTTCTATGCACGTGACCATCACAATTCTCCTTTTACATTTTTTTGGATTCGAGAGGAGCAGGGCTGAAATGAGGGATTTGGAATAGGATACGTTTGCACGTGTCAGCGAATTGTATTCAATCAGGTATATAAATAGGCGGCGTGCAGTTGCATCTGCAAGAACCCGCGGCAGCCTTAGGGTTGGTCTTGAGTCATGAGAGAGAAAAGCAATGAGCATCAACCACATCTCGTTCATGTGTTGGATCTATCCATTGATATTATTCCGAGATCCCTTCCCTTGACGAAACATGGAAAATAGATGAAGGGATATGCAGGCGGGGGGGAGGGAAGATCCCGTTCAATTTTGATGAGGGAGATGTTTCGATTTAACACTTTCGTTGAAATGTTATTTTATGTGGGTCGGATAAGCTGTCGGTTGAGATGGGGGAGTGGAGGCATGGCATGTAGATCTGGATATGCATGGTGAATGCAAGTCGCTGGATAGGGAGCGATACAGCCGGGAGCAGGCGAGAGCAGGGCGTTTTCCCGGATGCGAAGTCTTTTTATTGAGTTGGTGATTGGTTGTGTGGAATAGGGGACGGCGGTTGCAAGGGGAGGAAAGACAGGGCGATGGTGAGGGGAGCGAGGAGAGCAGGCGAGGAAAGAGAGGGTGTGTGGGTGGCGAAACGAGGAATGTTGATGTTGTTGAGGCCGACCGAGGGCGTTGATCCGGGCGAGCTTGACGAAGCAGCGTGGCGGAAAATAGAGACTGCATATATATCTGTCGTGCGCATCACGCACTTGGCATCATCCCGCCAATTGGGTTTCTGGTTTTGTGGAATTGTGAGATGGGAGAGGTGGTGTCCTTCAGATCGTGGAGCAGGGCTTGGTGTTGTCGGTTCTTGAACTGGGGAGGTGGGCTCGGTGGGGTAGCAATCGGCACCCTGCCAGACCAAGCATGAAGCCATTTTTACCCCTCATTTGAGGTGACAAGGTTCCACACGTTGCCATTGGCCTCCGGAGAGCCAGAGCTTGGGTGCGAGTAAGAGCCAGCGTTCTGCAGTATGTCGTCACGATGGGATTAATCGCGCGTATAGACGATGATGGGCATTTGGAGTTGGAAAAGAGCTGGCTGGGAACCCGGATTGGCCGGGAGCTTGACCCAGTTGTGCGCCTCGTGGTTGGGAAGCAAAGTTCAGATAAGATCGAGATGTTGGCGAGATGGCGAGACGGCGGGAGGATGAGCTGAATGACATGCTTGAGGTGATGCCAGCTGCTGTGCCATCAGAGGTTGTGAACAGACAGGATGGCAGGAGCTTTTTATCATCCTTTGCCTCGGATGCAGGCATGCTCTGCTGCAGGCCCGTAACGTGGGCTGATGAGTCTGAACTGCAGCTTGAGCTTTGTTCCTGTAGCTTGCCTGCGAGCCCTAGATGCCCGTGCTAGATTTCCAGATTCCGGCAAACCTTGAGTGGCTGCAATCGGGGCTCATGGCGTTCCACTGCAGTTCGTCAGTTAGCACAAGATTGAGGCCTCTTGCATCTGCGTCTGCTGTACAAGGTCAGGGCAACCTGCTTCCTCGAGGCGTGACGAACGGTGCGCTTTGCTTGGTTCCAGCAGATCCCATCGGAGAAGTGTCTCACGTCCCGACTTCGGGCTCCTTTGGTGTTCCGCGGCTCTTTCCTGTCGGGTCTGGATCTGGAGGGATCTGGATCCTCAAACCGATATTCAGGATCTCGCCGCGAAGCTGTGCTACAGGTACAGGGGAATCGCCTGAGGAGTGGGTGTGTGGCCTTTGCTCCCTCGCCGTTTAAAGTTCCTGTCGGGGAAATTGTTCTTCTTCTGGGCCCCGGCGTCTGCAACGATTCGTGCTGGTGAACTTGTGAAGGCATTTCGGGAGGCTCCAGACAAGGGGAACGGTCACGAGCTCATTCTGCAGCGCTAAATGTGTGTGGAGGGTGGATCGAAATGGATCTGCGAGTGGAGAGCCGAGCAGCCCAGCGTTGACTTGCCCGCGGGCCACCATCTCCTTTCGAGGCTTCACCCAGCTCTTTCTTCAACCCTGCATCACGGCTTGCTGGTGGCTGAACCCGTCATGTCAGCGTTTGAGGCAATGCCAGAACCTCCATGTCATCGTCGGCGCCAGGTTGCACGGCAATAAGCTCACCCCGTGACTGCTTGAGCCGAAGATGGGAAAAGGGGGGTTGTGGTTGGCTGAGTGGCAGACGCAAGAAATCTTTCCAGCTCAAGATGGAACGGGCGCGTTGGCCCTTGGCTTGCGTTGGAGATTCCCATGCTGCTGGTATGCAAACCCATTGGCCGGTCCGGCGTGTTGTGTTGTGTTGTGTTCCGTTCCGCTTCGCACATGAAGCTCCAAAGACCAAAGAGCATCTGTTCCGGCTGGGAATGGACGGCGCGGCTTTCACACGTCTGTGCTTGATCACCAGAGCAAACCTGGACGATGAGACAGCCCAGCTGCGGCGCTTGGCGAGCAGGGGCAGTCAGAGCAGAGCAGAGCAAGAGCAGCCAACGCAGGAGCTGGTGGAGCTGGCGGAGTAGAGTTTACGAAGCACGGAGTATGGACTGGTCCCACTCCCCAGGCCGCCCGTCCACCCTACCCATCCTACCCACCCTCGCGTCATTATTAATAACTCGGCGTATGATTCGTATCCGACAGCTCGAATCGCCAGAATGATGGCCTGCATGGCCAGCGCGGCGGACCCGGACCTCTCGACCTGGTCCGTGCCTGCACAAGACAAGCACCAGCCTGGAAGAGCTACTGTACTGTATCGGTAAACGGATCCACCGTCCACGAGCCTGTCCAAGATTTCAACCCGAGTGGTGAGCCGATGGCAGGCAACCCGCGAGGCAAGACCCCCATCCCTCGAACCCGGAGCTTCACATAGGTACGAGGCTGCGGCTGCGGCGGCGGCGACGAATTGGCCTGTGCTCGGGACCGATCGTCACATCGTGAGCCTCCTCTTCACAGTCTTCAGGTCTTCAGGGGCCTCGCTGCGAAAACGGCCTACTTCACCTTCCTCCTGGGTCGAGGCGACGTCGTGGCTCACGGGAGAGATCTCGATGTCTCAGACTATTGACTCGAGGCTCGCGACTCGCGACTCGCGACTCTCGGGCAGATGCCAGAAAGGGCTCTGGCAACTGCCAGCAACCAGGTACGCATGAGAGGAGGCACAGCAGCTCGCGATGCTGTAGAGCAGCTTTGATTGCGCGCCACGCGTGTAACAGCAACAGGAACCCGGCCGTTGAGTTCTTATTAGTACCGGCGAGTGGCCAGCGAGAGGTGCAGCTTGGATGCAATGGGATTTGCTGAGCGACCTCACACAGCTCCTGTACCGTCTGCAGAGGGGTGATATCTTGCTCTGGGTCAGCCTAAACTGCAGAGCGTGAGGATACAAAGCTTCCAGACTGCCCTGTCCCGAGTACCAAGTGCGCCATCCGAGGAGCAACAACACGGCATTGTGATCTGGTTCCAGCAACATCTCGATCCCTCCGGTACACTGATGTAACGCAACATGCTGGATGTATTGGTACAGATGTTGTACTCGACAGCTTATACTTGCCCTGCCCAACTGTCCCGTACCTGAGTCTCTTTTTGTTGCTTCAAACGCAGGAGGTCCTAGATGCGGAAATCAGCTTCAGCTCTTGCAGCTCTTGCAGCTCTTGCAGCTCTTGCAGCTCTTGCAGCTCCAGCAGCTCCAGCAACCTAGCAGTTCCAATTGAATTTGAATTATTCCAGGGCGATTGCTCAGCGCAGCTTCTGTGATACGCTTATGCATTTGTGACTGCATTGGGACATGGATGATGCAGTGTTGGCATATCATGACTGCCATACCTCTGGAAGGCGCGTGCTTGCCAGCATCAGAGGTCCCATGATCGCAGACTCCCACTATGTTTTGCTCCGCCGCGAGGGCAAAGGCAGAAGCTGTGCATGGTGAGGCAGAGGAAGGGAGCAGTCTAGAAGGACTCACATCATCATTGTTGACTAGAGCGACACAGCGGTCTTGCAGTGAGAGTGCATGTCATGCGTGAAACAAAGGAAGGAGGAGTGGGTAGACAGCAGACAGCTAGTTGTAGAAGAATTGTGACCGTCGCCATCGCCATCTCTTGTCTTGCTTTCTAGAATATTTCCTGCTGCTGCTGCTGCTGCTCCTGCTCCCCAGTCTCCTTTGACCGAAACGTTTTTTCCGGCGCTGCTGCCCCTCCTCCAGGTCAGAGTGCATTTGTCAATAAGCCAGCCAGCCAGCCAGCCAACCAACCATTGCCCGTCGCAGCCCTCCGCAGCCAATTCAATCCGACTGTTTGGGGCAGGAAGCCATTGCCGGCACCAGCCAGCAAAACCTAAAAAGCTTCCCTGGCCGTTGCGGTAGATACACGCTTCACTCACTGCCTTTGTCAGTTCACCCTCGATTGTTTTGTCTCCACGCCCACTCCCATTCCCACACCTCTGCCCTCCGTCCTGACTGGTCTCGCTTTCTCCTTCTCCTTTCTCCTTTCTCCCTGACGAGCTGCTCTTCATTGTCGTCACTCCGGCTGTTCTGCTCTGCTCTGCTCTTGTCGCCTCCGCCACAGCAGACGCCGAAACACAGTTGCGAGCCAGTGCTGGTCGCCGTCTGGTTGCCGTCTGGTTGTACCCCTGTCTGCGCCTGCAACCCGCAAGAGGATCCTTTCCTCGCTCATGATCCCCTGCCTTGCCTCTGCTGCAGGATGAGCAGCGCAACGTCAGTCTCCCAACGCTAACTCCAAGAAGCGACCAGAGCCCGCCCACAAGCCAGTGCCCATCATTTGCAGGCCCATCTCATGGGCTCGTGAATGATCAAGATACCACTGCCTACAAGCCTGCAAACCCGCAGCCCACCTGCCTCGAAGTCCCTACGGCTCCTCTCTCGCCTGCCGAACGCCTACAGACCAGACAACTACAGCTGCACCTACACCTACCTACACCTGCACATACACCTTTTCCTACACCTACACCTACTCCAACAGCCAGCACTCCTCTGCTACGAAACGCTACACCTACACGTACACAACACGCCCTGCACGCCTGCAATACAGCCCCCTCCACTGCCCGTTCTGCATCCCCTCAACGCCGCTCGTTGCCTCTACGGCCCACCACAGCTAGACGCAGGCTCTGTCGGTACGCTTGAGGCCAGTGACCCAGGGCCAAACGGTCGTCCAGCTGTCCAACCATCAGCGCCCATTGCCCCCCCCAGTCCCAGTCCCAGTCCTGCTTAGTTCCCAACTGCTCAATCTCAAAATTCGAGCGCGTGAGCATAGCCAGTCTTTCGGGCCAAGGAACTTGCACTTTACCTAAACCACTCATTGCTCTGACCTTACTTCATCAAACGACACCTCCACACTCCAACCGCACACCAACATCAACATCGAAGCGTCGTGCTCGCTCGCCTCGACCGTCAACATTCCAGCGCTGCCGCAGAACCTTCGACTCCACGACCACTCAGCCGGCCACTCCTCAGCCTCCCGTCTCACTTTGGACCGCAAAAGCAAACACACGGTGAATCGGATCTTGGTGGGCTTGCCATCACGTTACTGCAGTTATTCACAACTGATCGCAGACTCGCTGTCCCTCGTTCCTCAACTTTTGACCCAATTGCCCATCACGGACTTCACGAACACACCAACACCTCCCCTTACAACTCTCCTTGTCTCTAGCCCTCCGCATTCGCGATAGCCAGGGTGTTTTGGACCTCAAGATGTCGCAAAATCGGCCTGCAGCCTTCTCGAGTCTGAGGATGGGAGGTAAGACACCCGGTCAGGGTCTGCGTACCTGCCACAGATGCTAACCCCTCACCAGAGGTGATCCGCGAGAAGGTCCAAGACGGTGTTACAGGAGAGACTCGAGACATGCAATACACGCAATGTAAGATCGTTGGCAACGGAAGCTTCGGTGTTGTCTTTCAGACGAAGCTCTCACCTTCGGGTGAGGATGCCGCCATCAAGCGTGTTTTGCAGGACAAGAGATTCAAAGTGCGCAAAGGACTTGCCTTCATAGATCGGCCATCGCTGACTGGATTTAGAATCGTGAGCTGCAGATTATGCGCATCGTCCGACACCCAAATATCGTCGAGCTGAAAGCCTTTTACTACTCGAATGGTGAACGAGTGCGTGCCCCACTATCAATTCATAAGAAACATTCACTAATGAGGCTGTGGCAGAAGGATGAAGTCTACCTCAACCTCGTACAAGAGTACGTCCCTGAGACCGTCTACCGGGCATCGAGATATTTCAACAAGATGAAGACGACTATGCCCATTCTCGAAGTCAAACTATACATCTACCAACTCTTCCGTGCCCTCGCATATATCCACTCCCAAGGCATCTGCCATCGCGACATCAAGCCACAAAATCTTCTGTTGGATCCCAGCACTGGCGTTCTGAAGCTCTGCGATTTCGGAAGCGCAAAGATATTGGTAGAAAATGAGCCAAACGTCTCGTATATCTGTTCCCGTTACTACAGAGCCCCCGAGCTGATTTTCGGCGCCACCAATTATACAACAAAGATCGGTTAGCTTCCCCGCCGTCGAGGATTTCCTTGTGTATCTACTAATTCTAAGACAGATGTCTGGTCAACTGGCTGCGTCATGGCTGAGTTGATGCTTGGTCAACCTCTGTTCCCTGGAGAGTCTGGTATCGATCAACTGGTAGAGATTATCAAGGTTCTGGGTACGCCCACGAGAGACCAAATTCGTACCATGAACCCGAACTACATGGAGCACAAATTCCCGCAGATCAAGCCTCACCCGTTCAACAAGGTCTTCCGCAAGGCTGACACGAACGCCATTGAGTTGATTTCGTGCCTCCTCGAGTACACTCCCACGGAGAGATTGTCGGCCATTGATGCTATGGTTCACCCATTCTTTGATGAGCTGCGAGACCCATCGACCAGATTTCCTGATTCGCGTCATCCAAATGGTCCAGTCAAGGATCTGCCCACACTCTTTGATTTCTCTCGCCATGGTAAGTTCGCTTTCGAAAATCGCATATTTACTAAACTGACATTTGCCAGAACTCTCGATCGCCCCCCAACTCAACCACCGCTTGGTTCCACAGCACATGCGAGCCTCGCTGGGGTCCAGAGGTCTGGATATCGACAACTTTACGCCAATGACGAAGGACGAGATGATGGCGCGGTTAGACTGAAGCTGTTTACGCAAGATGAATGACGAATAAATGCTTTCCTGTCGCTCGACAAATAACTCTACGAGGAGTTGTTTTTGAGCTTCTCGCATCGGAAACCACCTCATCATATACATGGCCCTGGTCTACACATTTGCGGACCGGAATTGATTGTGGAAGTACGGAAAGCTAGGGCGAGACTTGCGGGATATGACCGTTATGCGTTACTGGTTTAGAAGAATAACCGCAAGATGGAATTTTCGTTCACACGAGTTTTCAGTTCAGCAACGGCATTCCTCAGTCTCTCATGGCGGAATATCTGTGGATAGGACTCGATCACTTCGCCATGGAGGTTTCGAGAACTCTTCCCTTCAACCACACTTTGTTTTAGATTTTTTTTTTTTTGCATGACGGAATGGACCTTTGCTTTCGATTCTTCTTGTCCCACTATTTGGCGCGCCCCTTTCAGTAGCGAGCGGACTGGGTGGCTGGACTTCCTCTTTTCTCTCCTCTCTACATCCCAAAGATTCGGGCGTACTTTGTTACATTTGACACGACACGCTTGTGTTCAATGATTGCATCATGGAATGGGTTAATATTCCATCGAATGGGTTATTGGGGGTGGGCTATCAAACGCAATCGCCTGGGCAAATGGGGGCACGGTCAAAAGATTCCTTTTCGTTTTCTTTTTCTGAGTTTGTGGTCCACCTGAACAGGACCATTAGTGGCTATCAAAAGGGGTTGGCTGGCTTTGAGATCAACAGAAAGATTTTCCATACTTGAGATTGAGACTCAAAAATTGACACTTCCCTCATTTGAGATGAGTTTTCTAACTTGTGGTGTGAAATGTCTGGTGATGGGTGACTTCTGATTCTTTAATAAGCAGGGAAATCATCTACAACCCAATGGAACTGATTTCCCTCGCTTTGGCCCACATATCAAAATTCCGTCATAATTCGTCCAGTAACAACCAACACTTGACAGTTGACAGCACCAAAAACTCTCTGCTTGAAATAGAAACATTCCTGACATCTTCAGCAACCCCTGCCAAAAACCGCTTACGTCACCTGTCCCCTGTCAAAATTGCAGCCTCGCAATTCTGGCGCCAAGCCCAGACGCGCATCGACACCTCGACAATTTAGAACTTCCTCCGAGGCCGAAGACACCACGTCCAACTCCACAACAAACCCTCCCGGACGATGGCGGACTATGATAACAGACCACGGGGAGGCAGAGGCGGGTATGGGAATAATAGGAAGCGGCGGTATCGAGGTGTGTTTTGTTTACTTGCTTTCCCTTCTTTCCCAGCCCTACTTTCGTCCATCCTTGAGATAGCTGGCTGGCTGGCTTCATTGAGGGTGGAGGTGGAGGATGGAAAGAAACACACAAAAGGAGAAATGAAGCTGATTGTATTGCGCCAAAAGATGAAGACGACTACGACCGCCGACCCCAACGGCGCCGCTACGAAGAGCCCCTCTCCTCCAAGATCCGCAAGCAGTTCCTCTCGCTGGCCGAATCGCCGCTCAAGCGCGTCGAGGACGAGATCCACTTCCTCGCCAAGACGATCGTCGATAATTGGGAGGAGGCGGAGGTCAAGGAGGGGTTCTTTGAGGTGGTGGAGTGCATGGTGAGGGAGCAGAGCTTCAAGGTGCCGTTCGTGGCTGCGGTGGTGTTGTGCATTAATGGGATGAAAGGGGAGGTGGTGAGGGAGGTGGTAGAGAGGATGGGGAGCAGGCTGAACGACGGGATTGAGAGGGGTGAGTGGAGGGATGTCAAGTTGTGCCTGAAGTTTTTGGGGGGCTTGCAGGGCGTTCTGGAGGGAGAGGGGGTGTGGATTGTTTTGCAGGATTTGTTGACGAAGGCGGTGGATTTGCAGACGGAGAATAATGAGGAGGTGAGTTTTCCGTGTGCTCTTGGGAGATTTGCGGGGAACGAAGCTGATGGGAGTAGACTATTGGTCCCGAGCTGGTCAAGATCATCCTGTTTACGATCCCGTATATCATGGCTTCGTCAGCAACCGATAGCCAGGAGAGAGCAACGGGCATGATCGAGAACACGGATATCATTGCCAGCGAGCCGCATGTGTTGCAGGCGCTGGTTGATCCGTATCCTGGTAATGGCAAGGAGGAAGCCACGACACCGAGTGGAGTTCTCATGTTACTGCAGAAGCAATTGCAGAATGAAGCTGCTACGGGATGGGAGCTTGCTTGTCTTCCGAGACCCTGGAGATTCCTGCTCGAGGGATTCGGAGACGAACCCCAGAATCTGGGACCAAAGCATTTTCTTCCTATCATCAACATCCCTGAAGTCGCCAGCGCTGGCCCGAGACCGCTATTCCCTGAGCTGTACTTCTCGGTTTATGCGAACCAAGATGTTGAGACTGTGCCGCCGACTACGGATATTGCGTCTTGTCTTTTGAGGGATGCGGTTATTGATACTATCAATATCCTTGATTTCAACAGGACGGCTACTGCGAGATTTCTGATCGATATCGATTGCTATTTCTCGCCGGGTACTTTTGTTAAGAGGGCTACTCCTTTTGATAGGCTACGGGATATTGAGGGTGATAGGTCGACTTGGAAGCCGGAAGATGTGGCTGTTGATGCTGTCTTCTCGCAACTCTTCCAACTTCCTTTCCCGGAGCACAAGTTGGTCTATTACCACTCTGTCCTCACAGAAGCGTGCAAGATTGCTCCAGCAGCCATCGCACCCAGTCTCGGAAGAGCAATTCGATACCTCTACCGCAGCGTCGATTCCATGGATCTCGAGCTGAGCTACAGGTTCATGGACTGGTTTGCTCATCATTTGAGTAACTTTGGCTTTACGTGGAAGTGGACTGAATGGATTGACGACGTGGAGCTTCCGTCTTTGGATCCGAAGAAGGCTTTTATTCAGGGTTCGCTGGACAAGGAGATCCGGTTGAGCTTTGCGCAGAGGATTAAGGGGACTTTGCCTGCGCCGTATCAGAAACTCATCACGGAGGAGAAGGAGAAGGATACACCTGATTTCAAGTACAACAAAGATGGTGAGTCTAGTTTTCAAATTTGCCATGATTCTTGCTAATGGGATGTTAGATACCCCCTTTTCCAAAGAAGGCCAAGAAATTCTCGCCCTCCTCCGCAAAAAGTCTCCAGAAGAAGCAATCCAGCCCGTCATCGACAGGATCCACGCCCAAGCCCTCGACATCTCTCTCCCCGACCCCCTCGTCCTATCCACCGACGCCTACGTGACGGCAATCTGCTACATCGGCTCCAAGTCCCTCTCCCACGTCCTCTCCTGTATCGAGCGCTGCAAAGAGCGCCTCCTAAGCCTTGGCCCGCAATCCCCTAACGCCCGGAAACAGATCATCGAGTCTGTAATGGAGTACTGGAAGGACCAGCCGGGCATCGGCGTCAATATCGTGGACAAGCTGCTTAATTACACGATTCTTAGTCCGGCGAGCGTGGTGGAGTGGGCGTTGGGGAAGCAGGGGAAGAGGCTCGGTGAGGCGTTTGTGTATGAGATGGTTTCTGCTACTGTTGGTAAAGTCACGGGGAGAGTGAGACAGGTTGTCCGGGCGACGAAAGCGCCTGGCTTGACTTCTGAACAGCGGAAGCTGTTGGAGGGACCTGCGGAGAGCGAAAGGGGGAGTATGAGGGAGTTGTTCCGCTTGATGGAGGATTTGCTCGTTGGTTGGGCGAGCGGGTCAAAGGATCAGGTGTTAGAGAGTGGTGATGGGGAGAGCGAGGGCGAGAAGATGGTTCGGCAGTGGGGGGAGCGGTGGTTGAGGGTTTTCAGGCGGAAGTTTGCGGTCGAAGAGGCATGGGGTTTGGAGGTGGGGAAGCAGAGGGTTGAGGATGTTGTGGCAGTCCCGGAGGCGAATGGCGGGAATGGAGGGGTTGAGATGGTGGAGTAGAGGCGATGCAGTGGAATGGGGAGTGCATATGGGTGGGAGAAGCGAGTAAGATAGATGCGCCAGGAGCGGGCCTTTGTTGTATTATTCTTGTTGACTGTACACTACTCGGCGCTGCGGCTGCACTCATAAAAGCATTTCCTAATACCTTCATATAACTTCCTTCCTTCACATTTTCTTAGAGATGCTTGCCATCTGGTATCTCTTCATCCATGCTGTGAAGGTGTTACTTCGAGGGCTTTGGTCCAGACAAGCAAGCAAGCCAACTCACCCGTAAACGAGCCCCTGAACGCCTACAATGCCCAGACGCCAAGCTTTTCGTTTCCTCCCAATATTCCTGAGCTTGATATCTCTCATCCCGAATCTCTCCTCAACTACCCCTTCCTTTTCTGACACAGAATTCTTCTTGTATCCTTGCCTATTCCCTCACCTCCTCCCATACCCCGGCGGTCCCTGTCCCTGCCCTGGCTGCGGCGGAAAACCAGGAGGTCCCATCCCAAAGCCCGGCGGCGGCATCGGCTGTCCCGCAGGCGCTCCAAACCCAGGCGGCATCCCTCCTGGCTGCTGGAACCCCGGCGGCGGCGCAAAGCCCGGGGGGTGGAAGTCTTGCGGTCCTCCGTAGCCTGCCTGGCTCGGCGGCGGGCGTTGCGGTAATCCTGAGGGCGGGGGAGGTAAGGGGGCGTTGACCCGCTGCTGCTGCTGCTGTTGTTGCGGTGGTGGAACGCCGTTGTAGTTTCCTGGTGGTGGGCCCCGGCCGCCGAATCCAGGGGGGAGAGAAGGAGGGGGTCCGGCCATGGGGTTTGCCGGTATGCCGCCCATGGGCATGGACATATCGATCATTGCTGCTGGTCCTGCGGGGACATTCCCGTTCAATAGCAACTGTGCAGGCATCTGCTGCGCCTCAGGAAGAATGTTATGTTTCTTCGCTTGGCTTGCAAGCATACGTTCCGCTTCATCGCCGTGCCGCTCTCCTTTCCCATCCTTCTTGTAGGCGTATTGCACGGACACGTCTTTATTCATGAGGTACTGCCCGTTCATGTTCGCGATCGCGTCGTCGGAGGCTTCGAATGTGCTGTAGGAGACAAAGCCGTAGCCTTTGCTGAGCCCGGATTCATCCCGTGCGATTTTGGGGGGCGATTGGAGGGCGCCGAAGCGCGAGAAGGTGTCGTAGAGGGTTTTCTCGTCGATGAGGGGGTCAAGGTTGCCAATGAAGAGCTCGGCGCCTACTTCAACGGGTTTTTGCTTATCTGCTGAGGCCTGTTTGTTCATTAGCCTTTTTCTTCTTCTATGACAGGGTTGGGAAGAGGTGGGAAGGGGAAGTTTAGGGAGAAAATTACCTTATTAACTCGAATCGGCTTCCCGTATAACCGCACCTGGTTCATGATCCGCGCAGCGTACTCTGCATCCTCTTCGCTGATGAACTCTACAAAGCCATACCCTTGGTGCGTCTGCGTTACTCGGTCTTTGGGGAGGTGTACATTGACGATTCGTCCGGCTTGGAGCATGAGCTCCCAGATCAAGCTGTCTGTAACTCGCTCGTCGATGTTGCCTATGTAGACAGTGGCTTCTTTGTCTTGCTCCCTATTTACATTATTAGGACTATGAATGTTATAAGAAGAGGGAAACTTACCAATGCCTAGCTCCTGACATCTTGGTGGTTCTATTGAGAATTTTGGGAGTGGGGAGCTTGAAGGACGTTGTTGCGAGGCGCGTGAAGCTCTTTTCCGAAAAATAGGGCGCTAGGCTTGAAGGGGTAATTGGCGATTGATGTTCAACTTTTCTGCTGGACGATAACGAGGTCAAGACAACGAGCAACGAAGGGTCACAACAAGCTTGTACGTATTGCCTACAGAGTATCTTGGGTCGGGAGCCTTGATTGCTGATAGGATTTCAGCTGCAAATCACAACAACCGCCACGATGCAACTCTCAGAAGAGTCCAAGGTCCGCAGTCTTCAGCCTCCATTCTCCATGTAGGGAGCTGTACTGAGTGTATACAGGAGCGCATTGGAAAGATCATTGATATCTCTCGTGTTGCTATCCATTAGTATGCTCTTCTCCCTCTGATACCCAATCAAAGCTTCTGCTAACCTTCCTACCAGTGGCTACCTTCCCCTGATTCTCTACCTTGGTATGGCAGTCCACAATTCAGCGCAAGAGCATGTCTAACAGAAGCAGGCTATACTCGCAGCGAGCCCCGCCCTTCTTTCATCAGGTACATATGGCTTATGCTACCATGGTTCTAGCTGGAGGACTAATAATTAATGGCAGACTCTTCTCTCCGCTCGCATAAGCTTTCAGACATGGACGATACGGTTGCTTTACAAGCCAGAGATGGAAATCGTGTGGGGAAATTTGGATTTACTATGGATCTGAATGCAGAGGGCAGCATTGTAGCATAAGAGGCGTTTTGTGAGATGCTTTGGGGTCCTTAGGGATGATTCGATGGAATGGCTTGGGAAACCAAGAACATAATTGTACAAATACAAAGCGCAAATCAGCGTAATCACCACTTGCAAATCCTCCCCGTCTTCTAGAAACCTGGATCGTTTGTCTTATCCGTTGCGGACCGAAGTCCGACAGAAGCTCCTATTCAAGCCTCGGCAAATCCCAGAAATATTTATCTCGAGCTTCAACGTCATCCAAGCTTCAAGCTTCACAACATGATAAAGCCAATGCTTCCTTCATGAACGACAACCATGCGCGCCTCTCCCCCGCGTTGGTCGAGACCATTGCCGGCCTCGCAGCTGGCACAACCTCCACGCTCGCCGTCCATCCCCTCGATGTGATTAAAACCAGACTTCAAAGTAAGCCCCTCAACCTTCTTCTTTACCATTACTAACATGCCCAGTCCAACGCAACACCTCCTTTTCTCCTGTCAACGCCTTCGGAATCCTCAAATCCCTTCTGAAGAATGAGCGACCAATTCAGAGCTTGTATCGTGGCCTGACGCCCAATCTCGTCGGCAATGCAAGCAGCTGGGCCATCTTCTTCTACTTCAAATCCATCATCGAATCTCAGCTCCTCCTCTTCCATAACCGCTCGCACCCCAGCACTTTTCTCACCCATGACGGCTCAACGACAGCAAGCCGCAACGAGCTCTCGCCCGCAGACTACTTCCTGGCGTCCGGCATATCAGGGACTTTCATCACGATGTCCACGAACCCGATATGGGTGCTCAAGACCAGGATGCTGAGCTCGGATAAAGGAAGTGAAGGTGCTTATGAAAGTATGTGGCATGGTGCAAGACAGGTTTTCAGGAATGAGGGCTTGAGGGGCTTTTATCGGGGCGCGGGGATCAGTTTGTTAGGGAATAGTCACGGAGCTGTGCAGTTTGCTGTCTATGAGCCGCTGAAGAATGTTTGGAGGAGATATTTGGCAAGGGAGCACAATGAGGTGGAGAGTAGGACTGGGGAGCAGGAGAAGCTGGGAAATACGGCGACCTTGGTCATTTCAGGTTCGGCGAAGGTCGTTGCCGGGACCGCCACGTACCCATATCAAGTTATTCGGAGTCGATTGCAGACGTACCATTCGGAAGCCAGATTTGGGAAGGGAATACGGGGCGTTGCGAGCAAGATCTTGAATGAGGAGGGGTGGAGGGGATTCTACCGCGGGCTGGGGACGAACATTGTCAGGGTGTTGCCAGCGACTTGGGTCACGTTCTTGGTGTATGAGAACGTAAGGTTCTATGTACCGCGCCTGGGTGGGTAGAAATAACGGCTCTGGAAAGTATCGCGAGGATCAATGGCTGAATCTACACGTCCTCGTTTCCCTCTTGCGATGCTTTTCCCTTGCATATTGTGAACTCGACCGATTTCGTTGCCTTGCTTTAATTTACCTCGCGATCGATTTTAGTTGGCAACATCTCTTCGTGATCATCAAAAATGTTTTTAGAGAGAAAGAGCCCCCTCTCGTCTAATCCTATGCTCCTCGTTGCTTTCAATCTCCTTTGTGCAAGGTAGAGAAGAGTCACACAAGAGCAGTCCTACACCCGAGCCGGTCTTCTCTCTCTCTCTCTCTCTCTCTCTCTCTCCAAAAAGTGGAGTGAAAGGGACATAAGCGAGGGCCAAAACGATATTTTAGCAAGAATCAACATAGCAAAACTCTAGCGAAGCACCTTGCGATGGTTGCTTTTGGGAGCAAAAAAAAGTTTTTTGAAAGTGGTCAGTGCCCTGACGAAGGCTTTCTGTGAAAGTTAGCAGTATATGTTTACTTAGAAAGAGGAGAGGGTTATACTTACCTTTTGCTTTTTTTTTTTGGTGACCTATACCCGCTTCCTTGGTGGGTTGTCCCGGAAGAAGGACAGCATGCGTGAGGTAGACCAGCAGTCCTCACCACAAGGCCCTCGCTGATCGGAGCGAATCGACGATCAGTTTGGACGGGGGTCCCGCGAAAGGACCCCACACACCGTAGCTTCTCCGTTCACCTTCTCCCCAGTGGCTACCGTGTCTGGGGGTCATATCAAACTCTGCGCCAGACCTACCACCTTGACCCTCTGACTCTCGGACACGTTGGTACATGTCCTCGCAATCGTTAGATTGCGGAGTGGGTGTGGGATCTATTTACCGACCCAGGTAGAAAATTTTTGAGCGAATTTCTCTTATTTAGATATATAAGGTTGGCAGGAAAGGGGGGGCGTTAAGCGAGGCTGCAAGATAGGGGCTGCGATTTTGCAATCACTTCACGATGACTTGCTCACATAGTCATTCAGCAGATGGTCCGGACCGAGAGGGAGCTTTCTACGCTTATCTCTTTCTTGCTTTATTTGCTTATCGAGAAGTTATCTTCAAGTCATTAAGTTGTTACAAACTCGTTCAAGAGTTCTGCTATATCATCACATCGCGGTAGCCAAGAACCCATTGAAGCTTGATGTTGTTGCTAATAGAACGGTTTGAAACAAGTCCGAAGACCTCGTGAATGGATTTCTACTTCTGCATAAGGCTCCCCAAGGCGTTTTCGTACGTTCAAGAAATTGTTGGAGGCTGGTCTAAATAAATTCGTCTACCACTCATCAATTTCCTTGGACTGACAGTATGGAATGGCTTCAACCATATCTGGATGTCTCTGGGAGCTATATTTCGTGCTTGAAAGCCATAATGGCTTATTCAGGGACCATCAATCATAGGAGTTGAATGAATCCGCTGCTCGGCTTTGAGGATGAACTGTACTTGTCGTTGCTGCCTACGACTAATCCCGCCTTGCTATATCATCAAATCATCTCGATGTTTGTTAGATCAAGCTTCGATACCTATTCATACCTCATTGTCTCTCAAGCGTAGACGTCTTTCCTCCTGAGAAATCAGGAGCAAAGCTCTCACGGCATCGGCAAATCTCAATCACATACATCAATTGCAGAATACGGTGTTTTAAACTGAACACGAGAACACATGCAAAACTCCTCGGGCGTCTTATATTGATTCTTGTTCAAGTTTTAAATCTATAGCAAGGCAGCTATCTCCTCTTCAATTCAAAATTTTGAACGGTCCCCGACCCAACATCGAGGTCTTTTCGAGTCCTTAAGTCGTTCAAAACTTTATTAATATTAGTTTCCCTCTCCTGGGGAGTTTTGCATCAAATGAAAGCTCTATTTCACGAGAGTCCTGCTCTCTTAATAGCTCGTCTTGCGTTCTAACCTACACCTCCTCCACGTACCGCCAAGGATTTCTGGCGTCAAAGTTGCGTACAGTCACGAGGCAAAGTAGCTTGATTTGCTCACGCTCTCCCCTTTCCTCAGCTTCAATGTACCTACCTACCTTATTGGCTCTTGTGAGAGGCGAGAGAGTTGGGCGTCCGGCTCCTCCCTCTCTAACCCGAGAGCTGCCACGCATCAAGCTTGTTCGTTCCTACCTTGATACCGTAGCTTCAGCAGCATCTTGGCGAACCCTTTGATACATGACCTCTCGTGCCTGCTTCGCATATTGCTACTATCTCATTGGACTCTTCGCCATGCACTTGAGAATCTCACATTGACAACCACCTCAACACCTGTTCGGAACACGGCAGCTTCCTAGCCTGTATTCAAGGCAAACCTAATTCTTGAACTCACTCAAAAATGATGTAGAGATCGACAACATGCCTCATGGTTCGTTCTGCTGTGCTTCCCCGTCCCGAGCTTCGTAGTGTTAAGGCCCACCTACCCCTCAATTCTCGACCCCTCACTGCTCATAACAGGAGCTCCATTATTCTGTAGGAACCTCACTATTCCCGTCAAAACCAACTTGTCTTTCTTGGCCTCATGCATCTCATCCCAATACTTCGACATAAGTACGTAAAAAAAAAGTACAGACTCCGGCGGCAGCGGCAGTTCCGGGGGAAACTAACAAAATGCTTCCCGTCCAGATCCTCCTCCACCAAACATTTCTCATTGCAGGGACGAGTTTAGTATACTTGGAACCCACGATCCAAATTCCTCAATCCAGGCCAAGAACCCCACGCCTCAATTCCGGTACGATCTCAACCCCTCGCACTCATCTCGCGCTAGCCAGGAAATATCCCGAAATCCGAGCCTCCTCCCTCCAACTTCTTCAATAAAGCAGCATTCAAACCTCACGCATAAAAGACATAACATGCAATGACAACTGCATTCCCTCTAGCAAGAAAGAAAGATCAGCTGACAATTTCCCGCTTTCTCATCGTTCAAGCCATTATGTCACGTGTCAATAAAAAAGCCTGATCAGTGATCATCAGGGTCCTCCTTATCCACCAGAAGGAAATTTATGACAATCTGCGATAACGGCCTCACGAGCAGTTTTAGAATGCACGGCCCCGGTCGGTACAATTCTCTTGCATCCGATTCGCGAGCCCCTCGGGATCTACAACGTTCTAGGGGAAATAATTAGCGAGAGAGCCACAGACAAGGGGTAAAAGCCAATTAAAAGTTCGTATTGTTTGCTTTCTGGTCTGTGCCAGCGCGGAACACCCCTGTCTCGCTACATTATTTTCCCTAGAGACGTTGTAAGAATTGAGGGGCATCTAGATCGCGGGAGGTAGCCGTGTGGGCGGATCTAGATGATGTTCCTTGAGTCAAGTTGAGTGTGAAAGGTAAGTGAGGATACGAAACACTGAGAGAATAAGGTTCTCTTCGGGGACGAAGAGTGGCGATCTTTGATGGCAATTTGAAGGTATATTCCTGCAGGTGACATGTTGTGCTGTCAAACCACCATACGCAGGAGCGGGAAGCAGTATGCAGGAGGGGACGGCGATCCTGTCTCTCTGACGCAATTCGTGGAGTGACTTCGGAGGCGATAAACAAACTTTCTGAGGGAGTTGAAAGAAGTGGTGGAGTGAAGAGAGCTGCCAAGCTGGCCGAATAACGATTCATTTTGTGTGTCTGAGCCAATATATGCAGGGACCAGATGCAGCTCCGAACTTTGTCTCAGCCACGAAGCACGTTGTAAATCGTATTCATACTCCCCACCCCCCTAATAAAATGTAACAGTGGGCCAAAGTGCAGGGGGTTTTTTGTATGGCAACTGGACCGTGCCAGGCTGGGTTGCGGGACCCCACTATTACATTTATTTAGGGGGGGGGAGAGTATTGAGTGATCGACAGTGCATACGAGGAGGAAGAAAAGACTTGCTGGGTGGCTTCCCGTTGACTGTGGAATTTGTCTATTACTTTGTGGTCAAAGGCTTATGCCGTTACGGCGAAAGCACTTGTCATGCCAGAACGGGATGTGGAGCGGGATGGAGACCAATGTCTCAAACCTTGCCGGTAGAAAGTTCCGGTGGAGTGAGACTGAGGAGATCGACGTTCGACAGCGCACTAGGTACGGGAGAAAAGGAAAATCTATTGCGGAGAGTTTCGGGAGAAGGAAATTGGCAGTGCGACTTGAGGACTCTTGGACCGGCTCGGCATCGGGAACAGCTCACAGACTTTTCAGGTGGGGATGGGGACTGCTCTTCTGGAGAAGGAGTTGGGACAAAGATTGACCGACCGACCGATACTTGCCAGTGCATAGACGAGCCTCCGTACTGTTGTATTGGGATTGCAATTGCTGAGCTGGGGACAACATGGAGATGGAAAGGAAGACTTGCTGCAATTGGCCGCAAGTGGTATTTCTCAAGGACGAGAAGACATACAATGAATATCAAAGATATTGGCCGTGTAGGGAGGGTAGTCTGGTTTAGGATATGACGTGTTGAGCCGCACTCAGGCTTTGAACAGGGAGAAACAAGGCGTAGATCTGCAAGCTGCAGTGAGAAGATTTGTCACAACACTCGCAATTGTATGCGGAGACTCCTCCATTGGATGGGGATAGCCCATCTCCTTGCCGGCAGACTGTTGCTATTTTGAAGGGGAAAATAAAGAATTCGACGCCCAAGTTTATGGAAGGGGCAGCTCCATTCTCAGGTCCCAGCACGGGAGTTGCTTGCGCAGAAAGAGAATAAAGTTCAATAAAGCGTATTCTGCAGGCTGTAATCCAGTCCCCTGCAATGGGGCTCACTAGCTGCTCGTAAGCACTAGAGGATGAGTTGTAGTCACCGACGAAGAGTAAGCTTGGCTAATTCCAAGGTCGAAGATCTTTCCGTGGTCGTCGTTCATCTTTGACGGTCGAAATCGCTGGTATTTCATGCATTCGTTTTAACATATTCTGGCAGCCACGTTCGTAACAATAACGGGCATGAGTAATGACGTCCTGGTTTGAACTTGCAAAGGTTGAGCAAGGAAAGTCTATTATTTGCAGAAGGTGATCTTGCAGCTTTTCTGCTGAATATTGAGAATAAAGTGATCGAACACCGATAAATGGATAATTTGATCCTGCCGCCCACTTGGCCGTCGATGCCATGACCACAGATGTTTTGAGGGCACAATTGGTCATTTGGCCTCACCCATCCTGGATTCTGTGAAAGCAGACTTTGAAATTGGAATGAATACTCTCTGCCATCTGGGAACTCTCTCTCTCTCTTTGTGAATGGTAGCAGTTAAGAGAGAGAACATTTCTAAAACAGTTGAGAACTTTTTCTCGACAAATATAACA